TACAATGCTAAAAGTGTGGCAGAGGTATTCATTAAGGAGATTGTTAAACTGCATGGTTTTCCTAAAACGATCGTATCTGACAGGGACAGTGTTTTCCCAAGTGTTTTTTGGACTGAATTGTTTAAGCTAGCTGGGACAAAGCTGAAATATAGTACACCATATCATCCCCAGACAGATGGACAGATGGAGGTGGTTAACCGGTGTATAGAAACTTATCTCAGGTGCATGACTGGGAGGAAACCAAAGCAATGGCCTCAATGGTTACCTTGGGCTGAGTTCTGGTACAACACTAATTATCATGTGTCTACCAAGAACACCCCTTATAAAATACTGTATGGGCAGGATCCACCTGTATTGATTAGAGGAGATGTCACTCTTACAGCTGTGGAGGAGGTGAATAGAATGACAGCTGAGAGGAATGTGTTGATAGATGAATTGAAGGGTAATTTGGCCATTGCACAAAACCAGATAAAGCAACAAGCTGATAAGAGAGGAAGGGAAGTTCAGCTACTGATATGGAATTGGGTGTACTTGAAGATTCAACCTTACAAACTCAAAACCCTGGCCAGAAGAATGAATCAAAAGTTGAGCCCTAGATTCTACGGACCTTTTGAAGTAATTGAGCAAATCAATCTTGTAGCATACAAATTGAAACTGCCGGAAGAGAGTAAGGTGCATCCTGTGTTTCATGTCTCTTTTGAAGAAAGCAGTACCTACTTCTAAACAAGATGGGAGTTGCAAGTGGAGCCAGAAAATGTGAGGGATAGCAGAATCAATTCAACAGAGCAAACTAAAGTTCTGGTGCACTGGAAGAATATGCCAGATTTTGAAGATTCTTGGGAAGAGTTGCAGTCACTTCAGAAGCAATTTCCTGACATCCACCTTGAGGGCAAGGTGGTAGTTTCAGGGGGGAGTGATGATAGAGACACAGCAAGTCAGCCTATTACTAATAATAATGTTGACTATTATAAACAAGTGTATTCCAGAAGAAGAAAGGGGAATATTAAATAGCTATGTGTTGAATAGAGGGCTGGGGGAATTACTATAAATATGTACCTATTGTAATAAGACGTAGGCTGGTTTTGGCTTTGTTGGGCTGGGACTTGGAGAGTGGATCTCTTTAAACTGCCAGACACTTTCTCTCTCTTGTTTGTTAATAACGACCTCCCTCATACTGTTCATCATCCAGTTTATCACTTTTGCTGCTTTAATCACTCTGTTACAGATTAGATCCCTATCAAACACACAACTCCGATCCTATTCGCAACCACCCCTCTCTGTCGGCAATGAAGGTCAAACGATGTTCTCTTAAGTGGGGAATTATTCTCAAGATGACGAATCAAGAAACAGGTGCAGATTTGGGTGAAGAAAACGTTGGGTAATCAGGAAAGCTAATTTTAACAAGTGGTAATCCGTGTGAGCCAGTGATAGAACCTTGGTATTATTCAACTAAGAACAATAGAAATTCAGGAAGAATTGATCAAGAAGATGAATAGTAGTTTATAGAAGTGATATGGTAGCCATAGATAATTCGAGATGCCCAGTCTCCCAGCCTATTCTCAACAGAATACTTGCCTACCTCTCCTTTCCCCCCTTCCTTACTATTTATAGTACTTCTATTTCTATTACAAGCCCACTTATTATTATCTACAATAATAGGCCCACTTATTATTATCTCTAATAATAGGCCCATTCCTATCAATACTCCCCCCCTAAACAACCACCTTGTCCTCAAGGTGGGGAGTAATAAACAGGCATGCTATTCAACTTCATCTTGGCACCTCTGCCTTCCCAATATTTCCTGGTTTTCTGAGCTAGGAGCTCCACTTCTTGAACATTCATCATCACTTCCTCTTTCATATGGATTAGTTGCTGACGAACTGGTAAAGCAGCTTTGACCAGGTCAACGGGTGTTGGTGGCTGGTCTTGACAGAAGTTAAACAAAATCCATGTAGTGTTTCTCATCATAGAAAGCTTTTCAGGCTCATTCAACTGTCCTAAAGATGGTAAGAGTGAATCATGACCAATACCTAGGTCCTTACAGGTTGAATCATCACCAGCAGAACCAAATAATGTTGTAGATGATGCAAGAGCTGCATGCCTTGCTTCCGTACGAACCTGCCATTTGCCTCTCAAACAACTTTCACTAATTCCAGTAACTCTCCAGAAATTTATGGCCAGTTTATGCATAATATCAAGCTCAGTAGATGCATTGTTTTCATCTACCAAGGAAACCTGTCCAATAAGATCAATGGCTTTTGCGACCCCACACAATCTTCCCCTCTCACCATCCCTGCGTAATAGACTTGGAATCATACTGGCTGAATCAATATCAGTTGATAATACAGTTCTATCTGAGGTTTTAAGATCTGCAGTTATCAGATCAACAACTAACAAACTGCCACCAACGAATACACATGTCACTATGTTGGCTACAGCCTTCATCAATACCTCGTTTAGGCCCTGTGCAGCTTCAACAACTGTCTCTTCGAGCAAAGCAGGCTTTGAAAGTGAGCTGGCATCGGCCTCAACATTTGCTGCGCCTTCCGGATTATCTGGTGGTCGTCCCGTGGGTTGAATATCATCATCCTTCATCTCCATAAACGTGTAATGAATGCCATAGATAGCAGAGAATACTGGTAATCAACTCTTTAGAACATTTACCATTAGGAACTCCAGGAGCAGCTTGCCCTGACTTCAGAGAAACAGTTGTAAGTTTGAATGTACCAATTCCTGTCCCGGCTAGGAAGGATTGTGATTGATACATTAAAGGATAGAGCCCAGTTGGAAAGACAAAAACATCAGGCCCCGTAGTCATCATAGCCTGATCTGATTTCCACGCCAGTGCTTGAATCCTTCTTCCCTGAGTTTTATATGTGACTTTTCCCTGCTCCTCCAGTTTCCTTGACAGCTGATCCTTCACTTTACCCGCATGAATTCCATTTTCATCCACCTCAGGGGGTTTCGTACCTTCATGATGATTTGGATCATCATCTGGATTTGGTTCCTTGATTACAGCTTCAATTGACTTCAACTCGATATTCGTTATCGAATGTGTAGTCTCCAACAATCTAATTCCAGGATCAGTAATGTAAATGGCTCTCGAAGAAGATGAAATTTTTGCAGGGGGATAAACCTCTTGGGACAAAACTTGCGCAGGGAGATAACTGCCTGGCGACAAGATTTGCGAAGAAGAGAATTCTCTCGGTAGCATCGCTTTCTGACGTGAGTGGATAGCCGATGGAAACGTCTTCGGACTGAGATGCGAACCGGAAATAACCGCTCACGATGACGATCTATGAGGAACAAGTTTCGATAGAGAACTGGAAGAAGTTTCTGGCGATTGAGAAGAAAACTGCTCAGTTAGCGACAATCTGGAAGAATTTGTTCGCATCTGCGAACTGTGAGACGACGAGGATTGCGAAGACCTCTGCGGACGACTGTGAGAAACGTATCGCGATGATGAACTTTTGGAAACTGCTATCGACGAAGATTGCGAACTGCAAGAAGTTGTTGACGTCCGCGATTGCCTTCTAGTCTGGAAGAGTTCTTCCATCGCAGCTAGCTTTCTATCAAGGTTTTCCGCCATGGTTTTCAGGTCTGTTAAGTTCTTCTTCGTCGATGTTTGATGCCTCTCCCACGAATCCATCATATTCTCCAGCGAATCCATCTTATGCTCTGATACCAATGATAGAACCTTGGTATTATTCAACTAAGAACAATAGAAATTCAGGAAGAATTGATCAAGAAGATGATCTAGAAATCTTTATTGATATGAATAGTAGTTTACAGAAGTGATATGGTAGCCATAGACAATTCGAGATGCCCAGTCTCCCAGCCTATCTCAACAGAATACTTGCCTACCTCTCCTTTCCCCCCTTCCTTACTATTTATAGTACTTCTATTTCTATTACAAGCCCACTTATTATTATCTACAATAATAGGCCCATTCCTATCAATTATTATCTCTAATAATGATAGAACCTTGGTATTATTCAACTAAGAACAATAGAAATTCAGGAAGAATTGATCATGAAGTTGATCTAGAAATCTTTATTGATATGAATAGTAGTTTACAGAAGTGATATGGTAGCCATAGACAATTCGAGATGCCCAGTCTCCCAGCCTATTCTCAACAGAATACTTGCCTACCTCTCCTTTCCCCCCTTCCTTACTATTTATAGTACTTCTATTTCTATTACAAGCCCACTTATTATTATCTACAATAATAGGCCCACTTATTATTATCTCTAATAATAGGCCCATTCCTATCAGCCAGTCACCGGCGATGTGCTTTTCCACACCCATCCGACCATCCCCTTAGCTAGCAAGTAATCCTGATGGAATGCAAGCTCATATGCAACGCCGGCAGGCTATAGAGGAAAGAGAGTGGAGGCATGGAGCAGCGAGGAAGAAAGCACACCAGCTGGCCAGATGCATGCGAGATAAGCGGATGGGAAAGAGAACGAAAAAAGATAAGCGGTGGGAAAGCAAAAGAGAAAGAAAAATAACAAAGAAAAGGAAAAGATAAAATTAAAAGCCACATCATATGCCACGTAAGCAATTTACCTGAAATTGGAAAGTTACCGGCTAAAAAGCCAATTTGAGAATTTTTAATGTGTTTGTGGGTCTAATCGGATGTTCTTTTAGTAGAGGGACTCAATTGACATTTTTGAATAAATAGGAGGGCTTATTTGACTGTTTTCCCATATATATATACATATATATATATAGATCCCTAAATTTTTTGTATTTACGTGTTTCCCCCACGTTTCGTTTCCTGTATTTTTTAGAAATTGTGTTTCTGACGTTTCCCGTTTCCGGTTTCCCGTTTCTGTGCTACTTATATTTTAGAACATCGTCAATTGTGAAATTACAACTATGATGGGTCATGATAGGATTACATTAAGTGATTAAGGCATAACTAAGTAAAGAGCTACAGATTCATACAAAAATCACAAATTCATCAAGAAAAAAATGAAAAGTGGGTAAAGGTCTACCTTTGGGCATTTTCTGCATTATTTGAGTCAACTGTTTCCTTACGTTTTTTACAAACATCATTCCTCGTACCTATCATTAACAAGGTAAACAATCAAAACTATTTAAAGGTTAAAGGACTCCATCCGGTTACAGACAAGTCAGTAATGTCAAAAAATAGCTGGATACCTGCAAGTTATTTTCATTACACCAGTCTATGCTATAATCAGTTTGACTCCATAGCTCATATAACTGAAGTAGCTGGATATGATCACCCCACCCAGATCCATCAGGAAGGTTTGATGGAGCTTGTTTCCTCTTCTTCTCAGTAGTATTCCTGCTGAATAAATTGAATAAGAAATCACAAGTGCGTATATCAAACATTTGGAACAAGAATCAATATTAAATAGTCAAAAGGATTAAACAAGGGGTTAAGGAGCTTGTAATCACCACAATATATCCCACAACATTTTGAATTTTGACCAAGACAACCTGATTGGCCATGTTTCATGATTTACAGGTTGATTTTACAAATATCAATCTTGTAATTGAACAAGGCAATAACAATATCTCAACTCATCACTGTCAGATAATATTTTCCATGCATTAGCAAATAACCTATGATGATGACAATTTTGGGGGTTTGCATCTCAGTAATCCGTCTTATGAAGGTTGTGCCAGGTAGGGAATCCAGTGTAATACATTCTCACTGACTCACTATGCTTTTTGCATGAATTTGAGTAAACTTTATACAATCAACTGGCACTATAATTTAATGCCAATCCCGAATAGCTGAGATTAAGGTGTGCTGATAACCAAAGAGTTGAGCGCATCTCTAACCTAATTAGTATAGTTTTTGGTCAGTACTACTGTCAAGCCCCACTAAACAACAAATTATCTAATCATTCAAACACTTGTTGCATTCTGTCAAGCCGCACTAAACAGCACATAATCTAATCAATCCATTTTATCTAGTACTCTAGTTATAATGCCACCGTCTATCAAATACTGCTAACGTGCATTACTGACTTATTGCAGACTTGCAGTTCATATATATTTTCATTCAAATGATCATCAGGGCCGATTACGGGTCCAGACCACTAGAAATACAGAAATGCTTCAATTTTTACCTAGGGCCAAGAAGCAAATTTGTTTCCGCCGATAACATAGCAGCAACTGTCAAAGCTTGAGATAAGCAACCTAAATGATTGGCCTCTATTAAGGTCCTCGACAAAGAAGGCTCTAGTGGAAGTTCTGCACAAAGAATGAAAGATGATCAGATTCTAATGAGAAATGCTAAAGGTACCCCAAAATGGGTTACCCCATTCTTACCCCGGCCTAATGTGTGGCCATAAATGGGGCAACACATTTAAGTGGTGCCCCACTTAAATGTATTGCCCCATTTATGGCCACACATTAGGCCAGGGTAAGAATGGGGTGACCCATTTTGGGGTACCTATACCATTTCTCGATTCTAATATATTTATCTAGGCAAAACTCTATGGAAGGAATAAAAGAATATCAGATTCTAATGCATACTTTTACCTTCTACCAATATCAATGAAGCCTTAACAACCGCTTTGTTGAAGATTTCACTCAACCAATAGAATGTTATTTAATGCATAGGACTAACATGTGATAACTGATAACAGCAGTACTACAGAACTATATACACGTCTACTTTGTTGAAGAATCCAATTAACCAGAAGAATGTCTTTTTACCTATTGGACTAATGCATAGGATACAAATCGAAGATGGAGCTTACCAGCCATGGTTCGTCCAAGACATGTAATTGAACCATTTTCATCAATAGCATCATTCAGATATAATTGTCTCAGGGCATCTTCTAAAGACTCAACTGCAGTTAAATAAGAAATGAATTAAATCACCTATACATCTGTAACAATGAAAATACAAGAAAAGCATGTTACTAATACGACTCTTCAACTTAGATAGCTCAGTAAACTCAAATAACAATAAATGCTTATTTAGAGCTAAAACGCTAAAAATGTATGTGCTGTAAAACAGGAACTCGCACCTGCAAACTATTTATGACTTATGAGATGTCCAGTTAACGAATCTACAGCAGTTTTAGACAAAATTCTGCCAAAGTTTACACCTCATTATGTACAATTACAACTCTCCCCATCAAGCCGAAACATTTAGAATGCTTCAAGCACAAACATGTAGAAAGCTTCAAGCTTGCTATGACCAGGATGGCAAAAGACATGTTTACATTACAACTCAGTACAGGGAAGAAAATCACATTTTTAACTTGAGCATTACTGATTCATCCAGTAACACTAAATGATAAAATACTTAGGGTACAAGAGAAGGGCTATGATATCATGTTCAATAACAATACTAAAATGATAAAAATATTTATTTCATTGATATAACTCTTCCTCTTACAAAACATCAACACTATCTCAAATGATAATATCAGAATTCTGACAATCAAAATCATTTGTGTAATTGACAACTATTTCATAAACAATTCACAGCTGCTTACAGCTCACAGGCTGCTCACTATTACAGCTTCAACAACATCATTTGCACAAAATTAAGACTGAATTAAAAGTTATTAAGTTATGAAGCTGAACCAAGATGCAATCATTACCTAATGGGGGGTCAAGGAAATCAAAATTTAGAACATCCAAATCAGGGAGATCTAATGACTTCAAATACAGAACAGCTCCAGCAAGGGAAGACCTCTGTATCTCAGGGACTGTAGCATCCAAAAAATCATCCTGGTAAATAATAGAAGAATACAGACGGTAGCATTTTCCAGGTCGAGTTCTGCCAGCGCGTCCTACACGTTGATTGGCTTGCACCCTGTGTACATTCCAACCAGAAATGAAAAATGTACTGTAACTGGTGACTCAAGTAGGCCAAAGAGTAGATTTAATTTGAAGAGAAATGTGTTGCAAAGAACACTCTGTTTTATACTACCTCCGTCCCACTAATATTGGGACGGAAGGGGTGGCAAGGTTATTAAGATAAGTGGGTTTATGTGGTTGATATTAATTGATAAAGAATAAAGAATGATTTCGAGCCACACAAACTTTACCAAATTTGGTATGGGACAATTTTAGTGGGATTTCCCGAAAAGGTAAAATGGGACAATATTAGCGCGACGGAGGGAGTAATACTTAAAAGTTACGCATTAGAGCATGGTATCAGAGCATTTAGACATTCATTAGAGTGTTACGGAAATATCAGCTCTTTCCAGAACTGGAGTTCTCAGACTATCGGAGCTATCAGCTCTTTCTTAATCACAGCCACTCCCAGAGGGTGCTCTTGCCTTCATCGACCAACCCCCTGAAGTCCAAAGCAGAATGTCGACGCACGTGAGGCACGCGCGCACGCGACGGCGCGTGAGATCTTTTCTCTGGCCGGAAATTTCGTCGGCTGCCACCCATCGACTCGCCTGAGTGTTCCCTATCTACCGGTGTCATTCGTTTCCAGGTTTTCTTGAATTTTGAATTTTATTTCCTTTCCATTCATCCGCCACTGTATTTTGGAAAACCTTACCGAACCGTCTGAACTAGAGAAAGCATTTTCCTTCAGTTATTTCAGGGATTGTTTGAAAGATGTCAGACTCTTACCCACGGCTATGATATTGTATGCATACAAATCTGCTGTGAGCCCGGGGGGAGATTTTGAAAGCTTTACTTTGGAAACCACCCACTCCATTTTGGAGGTGATCCCCGTTATGCGTGAGTTGTGACAAATATTTTTTGTAAATCATTATTGTAGAATTTGGCCAGTCAAAATAAATAAATAAAAAAGAGAAAAAAATATGTCTTGTACGGGTCAGTTTGGCAAAGAACTGATATGCAATTACTGCAAGAAGCCCGGACACTTGATCAAAGATTGTAGAAGGTTGATGTTCAAAAATCAAGGAAATCAGACCACTCATGTTCCTTCCGCTACGAGTTCATCCAATGGATCAATTACTCTTTCTTCATATGAGTATATCAAATTTCTTTGCTACCAAGAATCTCTAGAGCATTCATTGGTTACTATCTCGGTAGCCGCTAATTCAGGTACTTCAAAAACATGTCTTGTTTCCTCATCCTCGAAATGTGTATTGACTCAGCTGCCACAGATCATATGACCGGTAATCCTAATCTTTTTTCATCATTTCATCCATATTTACATACTTATAGTGTCACTTTAGCTACCGGATCTACCTCACCAATTCTCGGATCTCGTACTGTTGTTCTAACTTCAACATTACCATTATCGCATGTTTTGAGTCTTCCTAATTTTGCCTTTAATCTTCTTTCCTTAATTGGTCTGTAACATTCTTTCCTGGATATTGTGTGTTTCAGGATCTGTTGACCAAGCAGACTATTAGTAAAGGACATGAGTCGGTTGGTCTTTATATTTTGGATACGTCAATCACAAAAGGTATCTATTGTCTCGGAGTTGAAAACTTGTTAGAAGCTCATTACCGGCTAGGACACCCATCTCTCCCATTAATGAAGCATATTCATCCTCAATTTAATAAGGTTTCATCTTTAGAATGTGAGTCATGTCAATTTGCAAAACATCATCGTACTAGTTTAAGTCCTCGAGTTAATAAACGAGCAAATGCTCCTTTTGATCTTGTTCATTCTGATGTTTGGGGCGTTTGTCATGTTGTGTCCAAATCTGGGTTTAAATATTTTGTTACCTTTGTTGATGATTATTCTTGTATAACGTGGTTATATTTTATGAAATGCCGATCTAAGCAGTCTAACATTCCTATTAGTGTGTTAAGAGGTGATAATGCCTAAGAATATCTATCTGCTCGTTTTGAGTCATTTATGCTTCAACATGGCATTATTCATCAAACTTCATGCGTTGACACGTCTCCTCAAATGGAGTTGATGAACGAAAAACTCAACATCTATTAGAAACTGCAAGGCCTCTTTTATTTCAAATGAATGTGCTTAAACAGTTTTGGGCTGATGTTATGTCGCATGTTTTTTGTAAATCGCATGCCGCCTTCTGTTTTAAATGGTAAAACTCCTTATAATTGTTTATTTCCAAATAAAAAGCTTTTTCCTATCCCGCCTAAAGTATTTGGTTGCGCTTGTTTTGTTAGAGACGTTAATCCTCACCTTACAAAATTAGATCCCAAATCATTAAAATATATTTTCTTGGGATATTCTTGAGTTCAAAAGGGGTATAGATGTTTTTGTCCAAGCACAGGTCGGTATATTGGTTCTATTGATGCATCATTTCATGAAAATACACCTTTTCATCATCCAAGACAGATATTCATGAGGACAATGATGAAATACTCATTTACACAGTCACTATATCGAAGTCTACACCTTCGTTAATTATACCACATGTTACTGCTCCCGACCCCAGATCTCCAGTACATTTGGTTTACACCCGTCAACACAGAGCATCAGATCACCCTCCACCTGTCACTTATGACACCTATGATTGCTTATCTCATGTCCTGAACCAGTACCTGCATCTTCAGATCTTGTCTCTACATAAGATCTTGACCTCCCGATAGCACTACATAAAGGTATACGATCATGTACTCATCCTATTTCTTCATTTGTGTCGTATAATGAGTTATCCCCTGCCTCGTGTTCTTTTATTGTTTTCCATTGATTCTATTTTCGTTCCCAAATCTGTTAAAGAAGTTTTGTCTCATCCTGATTGGCGTCATGCCATGGTAGAGGAAATGAATGCTTTGGATCTTAATGGTACTTGGAATTTGGTAGAATTGCTTACGGGGAAGAAGTCTATAGGATTTAAGTGGGTCTTTGTTATTTGCTGTTAAGGTTAACCCAGACGGATCTGTTGCTCGTTTGAAAGCCCGATTAGTTGCGAAGGGTTATGCTCAAACCTATGGTGTTGATTATTCTGACACTTTTACTTCTATTGCTAAATTAACATCTGTCAGATCGCTTATTACACTCGCTGCAACTCATGATTGGCACTTACATCAGTTGGACATTAAAAATATATTCTTGCATGGTGACCTTCAGGAAGAAGTTTATATCGAGCAACACGGAGTAATAGAAATGAAGCAAGGTAAAAGCAGAAATGAAATCATCTTACTTAGAATCAGATATTACAGAGTATTTATACAGGAAGTAGTCATAGCTAACATAACCGAAGCCTAACAGAAAGCAGTTACATTGTTTTACAAAGAAATACACGTGTAGTTTTCCTACACTATTCCTAACATTCCCCCCTCAAACTGAGGGTGATTGAGTTGGAAAGTCAATCACACTGAGTTTGTTTCTGAACTCAAGAAAAGTGGAAGCAGATAGAGGCTTGGTCAACACATCTGCAATTTGCTGGGAGGCTAGAATGTGAAACACTCCAAGCTGTTTGAGTTGGACTTTCTCTCGTACAAAGAAAAGATCAATTTCCATGTGTTTTATACGAGTATGCAGAACAGGATTGTGAGCTAGTTGCACTGTACTAAGGTTGTCACAGTAGATTCTGGGAAGAGTGAAAGGAGCTTGAAGTTCTTTGAGTAGGAATTGGACCCATAAAATTTCTGATGTAGTATCTGCTAGGTTTCTATATTCAGCTTCTGCTGAAGATCTAGCTACCCTTAGTTGCTTTCTGGACCACCAAGAAATAATATTAGGGCCTAGAAAAATGCATGACCCAGATGTAGATTTCCTGTCTGTAGGATCTGATGCCCAATCAGCATCACAAAAAGCTGTGATAGGTAGAGGTGTTTTTGTCAAAGGAAGAGGTTTGATCAGTAATCCATGAGTGATGGTTCCAGAAAGATATCTCAGGATATGCTTCACAGCTTTCCAATGTTCTTGTAAGGGATTGGCCATAAACTGACACACTTTATTTACAGCATAGCTGAGTTCAGGTCTTGTTAAGGTAGCATACTGTAGGGTTCCAACAACAGATCTGTAATGAGAAGGATCAGGAAGAGAATCATTCCCTTCACTGGTAAGCTTACAGGTACTCACCATGGGTGTTTTCACACCCTTGGAATCAGCCATTCCAACTTTGTGAAGAAGATCTCTGATGTACTTGGTTTGGGAAAGATGCAAACAACCATTAGGTAATTTCCTGACTTGGATGCCCAGAAAGAAATCTATGTCCCCAAGATGTTTGAGAGAGAAAGAAGAATGTAAGGCTTGAATGATTTGTTGTATGACAGTGGAGTTATTGCCGATGACCAGAATATCATCAACATAGATTAGGATGTAGATTTGGATTCCAATCTTGAGGTAGATAAGAAGAGAAGGATCACTTTGGCTTTGTTTGAAACCAGCATTATACAGAACTGAAGTGAGCTTGCGAAACCAAGCTCTTGGAGCTTGTTTTAGACCATATAAGGATTTATGGAGTCTGCAAACAAGGGAGGTGTCCTTAGCTTGAAAACCAGGGGGTTGAGACATGTAGACCTCCTCCTCAAGGTCCCCATTTAGGAAAGCATTGTTAATATCAAGTTGTTGTATAGACCATTGATGAGAGACAGCCAATGTGAGAAGAATTCTGATAGTGACAGGTTTAACTACTGGAGAAAAGGTTTCTCCAAAGTCAAAACCAAACCTTTGATGAAAACCTTTGGCAACTAACCTTGCTTTGAACTTATTCATAGAACCATCAGGATTTTCTTTGACTCTGAATACCCATTTGCAACCAATAACCTGCTTGCCTGGAGGAAGAGACACTAAAGTCCAAGTATCGTTAGCAATCAGGGCATTGTATTCAGATTTCATTGCTGCAAGCCAAGGTGGAGAAGAGAGAGCTTGCTTCACTGATTTAGGCTCTATATGAGCTAACAGTAAGGTGGGATTAAGTCTAGGTTTTACAATCCCAGATTTGGATCTGGTTTGCATGGGATGATTGTTGTGAGGAGGACTTGGAGGTGGAGGAGGATTAGAATCAGATGATGAGGAGTGAGAGTGGGCAATGTTATCATTAAATGAATTAGAAGGAGTTGACTCAGATTGGGAGGATTGTTGATGAGGAATTTGATGATCAGTGTTAAACTGAGATGGAATGGATGAAGATGTAGGAGAAGAATTTGAACTGTTGGAATTGGATGTAGGAGTAGCACCATTGTCAGAGTGGAATGAAGATGAATGAGAAGGAGAGTGAATTGCTATTGGGGCTGATAAGGAAACTGGGACACTTGAAGATAAACTGGATGGGGATTGAAAAAGAGTAGTGTAAGGAAATTTGGTTTCATCAAATATAACATCCCTGGAAAGATAAATTCTGCCACAGGGAGAGAGACATTTATAGCCTTTGTGATGCGAAGAGTATCCCAGAAAAACACATTCCTTGGAATGGTAATCCATTTTATGTTTATTGTAAGGCCTAATGAAAGGATAGCAGGAGCAACCAAAAACTTTGAGAAAGGTATACTCAGGAATAGTACCATAAAGTTTGAAATGTGGGCTGAGATTTGCAATAGATTTTGATGGAAGTTTGTTGATAAGATGTACAGCAGTGGCAAAGGCAGTGTCCCAGAATTTGAAAGGCAGAGAAGAATGTGCAAGGAGACATAGACCTTTCTCAACAATGGTGCGATGTTTCCTTTCAACAACACCATTTTGATGGTGTGTATGAGGACAGATAACTCTATGATTAATACCTTTTTCAGTGAGAAACTTTGTGAATGATCTGAATTCTCCTCCCCAATCAGATTGGATTGACTTAATGGAGATGTTAAACTGATTTAGGATGTATTGATGGAAGTTTTGAAAGGCTAAGAATGCATCTGATTTCTTTTTGAGAAAGTAGATCCAGGTATATTTGGTGAATGCATCAATGAATGATATATAGTAAGTGTAGCCATCAAAGGACTGAATAGGAGCTGGCCCCCATAAGTCAGTATAAATCAGTTCAAAAGGAGAATGAAAAACAGTTGTAGATGGGTAAGAGGGTAGTCTGTGAGCTTTACCCAAACAACATGCAGAACAAAAGTCAATAGCATTCTTATTGATATATGGAATATTACATAGATTCAGTACAGACTTAAGGGCCTCAAAATGAGGATGACCTAGCCTTAAATGCCAAATATTACAACTGAAGGTTGATTGAGAGTTATTACAAGTAGATACAAGAGATCTAGGGAACACAGATGTATGGGGATGAAACTTGGACAGATTTGAAGTAGAGTTGTGAGACCCAAGAGCTGGAAAGGATTGAAACTTGTAAAGACCATCTTCACCAAGTATTCCATACAGCAGAACCTGTTTAGAAACCTGGGATTTAACAAAACATTCATGAGGATGAAATTCAAAAAATGCATTGTTATCCTTGGCAAATTGGCTGACACTTAATTGATTTTTGGTAATAGCAGGAACATGTAAGATGTTGTTGAGAGATAAAGAAAGAGATGATTGATAAGGTGAGGGAAAGGATGAAAAACCAATAGACTTAATTTCCAAACCTTGACCATTGCCCATAAACAGCTTATCAGTGGTAGCAATTGGCTCACTGTGTTGGAGATTGAGGGGATCAGCAGTAACATGGTGTGTAGCTCCAGAGTCTGGGAACCAGTTCTGAGAATTTGGGGGTGGTCCTAGTATAGAAGAGTTTGCACAAGCCCAGGCTGCAGTTGGCACAGTAGAGGGTGAATTGAGTTGTGAGAGATGATTACCTTGTTGTGGATAGGGATAAGGTGGTTGGTTGGGTGAGTATCTTGCTATATTTGGAGGAAGCAGTTGGTATTGATTTGAGTAGAGATGTGAAGGTGGTTGTTGGTATTGATTTGGTTCGTATTGAGGCTGGTGAAATTGATTTGAGTGAGAATATGAAGATGGAGGTTGTTGCATAGGACGAGAAAGCTGTTGTTGCATAGGAAAAGGATTGGTAACCGTATAGGCTGGATTGTATCTGTGGTAACAAACAATTGCACTGTGACCATTTTTCCCACAAACTTGACAAGTAACTGAGCTTCTACCACCTGAATGACCACCTCTGCCCCTATTGAAAACTCCACGACCTCTACCTCTGTAGGAGGAGTTGATATTAGAGGTGTCAAACTGAGCAGAAGTATCAAACTGAGCAACTTGAGCTGAAGCATTTTCTGAATTGTCCTGAGCTTCGGTTTCAGTATTTTGAGAGGAAGATTCAAGTCGAGCAACATTAGCAGCAAATATTGTTTGTTGCGAGGACTCACGAAGTTTCTTCAGTCGCAATTCTTTTGCTAGCAGAAGACCTTCAAGTTCAGATAAGGTAACAGGATCTAAGATACTTCGCGAGGACACAGATGATATAAGTGACTCGTAATCCTCAGGAAGACCTTCAAGGATCACATTGATGTGATCCTTGGTTGATATAGGCTCGCCGACAGAAGTTAGGTTATCAACAATTGTTTGAATACGAAGCAAGTATTCAGAAATAGAACGATCACCTTTCCCGGTGTTATACAGTTCCGATTTCAGTTGACGAGCTCGCGCGATGATACTGGAGCGGAAGAAATTCTGAATTTCACTCCACAGCTCATGCGAATGCTTGCAGCAGATGACGCGAGCATGGAGTGATTCTGAAAGCGAAGCTAAGAGCCACGAAAACAGCATTTGATCTTGTTGCTCCCAGGTGTTGTATGCTTCGTTAGCTGTTTTCGCTCCATTTTCATCAACTGAAAAACGATCTGGTATCTGAGGACTTTCTATGAACTTGAGAAGTTTATGAGCTCGGATCACTGATTCAACATGATGGCGCCAAAACAGAAAATTGTTTGAATCGAGTTTAATAGGTAGAGGATGATGAAAAATAATAGGCGAAGATTGATTAGCAATGTGAGAAGATGATTGCGAAGAAGAAGAGGAATCAGACGCAGAGTTTGTCATGGTTAGATCGAGCAATGCTCTGATACCATAATAGAAATGAAGCAAGGTAAAAGCAGAAATGAAATCATCTTACTTAGAATCAGATATTACAGAGTATTTATACAGGAAGTAGTCATAGCTAACATAACCGAAGCCTAACAGAAAGCAGTTACACTGTTTTACAAAGAAATACACGTGTAGTTTTCCTACACTATTCCTAACACGGAGTAAGAAAGACATTTTTATCTCAATGAAAATATGTATTTGATTTGCTGGTTGAAACAGGGGAATTGGGATCAAAGCTAAGCAATACTCTCATGGTTCCCAACGTGCAACTCACTCAAGAAGGCATGCCATTTGAACACCCAGAAAGATATAGAAGATTGGTTGGAAAGCTTAATTATCTCGCAGTCACTCGTCTATATATTGCTTACTCTGTGAGTGAAGTGAGTCAATACATGTCATCTCCGACCATTGATCATTGGGCTGTTGTAGAACACATATTATGTTACTCCCTCCGTCCCATTGGACTTTGGTAACTTTCCTTTTTTGGTTGTCCTAGAAAACTTTGACACTTTACTATTAAAGCAACTAATTTGTGGTTCTGCACATTTCTCTCTCCTCTGCACAAATATCAACCACACAGTTTTTACTATTCTTATTTCTCACCTACTTTGCACTTGGCAAAGTCCACTGGGACAGAGGTAGTACTTAAAAGGAGCACCAGGGCGAGGTATTGTTTATCAGAATCATGATCTACTTCTCGTTATTGCGTCTGTTGGTGGTAATCTAGTATCCTGGAAAAGTAAGAAAAAGAATGTGGTTTCTCGTTCGAGTGTTGAATCAGAATATCAAGCTATGGCGCAATTTGCATGTGAGATCATATGGATAAGTCATTTATCGAGTGAAAAGTACATGACTAATCTACTCGAGGTTATAACTGTTATTAGAGGGTAAAATTGATGAGTAGGATCACAATACTAAGAGTCTAGGAGTGTGGTTCTAAAATCAAAGTTCGTACTTCGTACATCGATTACATATGGGAAACAAATCGAAAAGTAAGAGTCGCAGGATTGTTTCAACTTTGAAAACTGGGAAACGACCATTCAAATCTAGATGACGGGAAACAACGTTTTCAAATCTAGATTATCATCGCTACGAACATCGTTTGGGATCGATTTGAAGATCGGTTGAGATCGACTATGAACAACGACTGGGAACGACGCGAAGAACGTATCGCATAGCGTACCGACTAGCGACTGGATCGTTTTCGTACCGCGGTTGGGTACGGAACTATCGGGACGCAGATCGCGCCTTCTGTAACGATTTATGTATCTATGATTCGGATTGAAGACATCAATGCCTGCTAAATTATGGTGTGATAACCAAGCTGCTATATACATAGCGAACAATCCGGTATTTCATGAGAGAACATAACACATTGAGGTTGATTGCCACTTTATGTCTTTATTTGAGAGAAGATACAAGAGGGATTGATTTATACTGAATATGTGAAGACTGGAGAACAACTTGGTGATTTATTCACGAAAGCATTAAATGGGATTCGAGTTGATTATTTGTGTAACAAGTTAGGTATGATAAATATCTACGTTCCAACTTGAGGGGGAGTGTGAAATATATTAGAATGAATGTAGGAATATGCTTTGGAATATTTAGGAATATACTTTAGGATATTATTATGCTATAGGATCTTATAGGAATATTCTATGTAGTAATATATATTTATAGGGACTTCAACCCTTCAATAAACACCCAGAAAATCTTTCCTCCTCTCTTCAATATTATTCTAATTTATATTTCAACATACAAACATTGAATTAATAACGTATAGATTTATATACTATTTAACTTTTCTTAATATAAGAGTTCATCAATAGGGATTCTTTCCGGTAATCATGGAAAATAAAATATGGATTGCAAAAATATGCTTTGCAGACATGCAGTATGTTTTGCAAAACACTCCAAAGATTTAGGCATGCCAAATCAAGTTGCACTGACTATTAAATATTGCATTTTAATAACACAGCAAACCACGCACCAACAAATTCCCAAAGACATAAGCCCGGAATGCGCAAAGGCAAAGGCGCAAAGCAATACAAAAGTTAAACATGATATAAAAAGAAAATACACATGCTAGCTTTTGCAATTTCCTCTGTTCTGGAATAAATTATATGCTCGTATGAAAAAATAAGCATACACTACATGCAATCAGAAGCAGTGCTTGTGACGTACTTGCTAATTTGAACAACATCTAGTGAATACATGCCACTTGATGGGTTGTACTGCCGTTGCTTCACGTACCCAGCGTCAATAACGTAACTGTGAGAATAGTTAGCCATTCATCAGAGATGCAACTCATGCAAGAGTGATGCTACAGAATTTTAGATCATGTTACTTATCCACTGATATGAGCATATGACTAAAAAATAGTTTCATGTGCAAATAGTCCAGCAGAAACTGAATAGAGTGAGAAGAGGACAAGTAAAATTCAACGGCACACTTTCAATTGGATGATGAATGCATAGTAACATGGATACTCTAACCATTTGAAGTGCTAGGCACTACAGCATTCTGTATAGCAACTACATGCATTCACCAATATGGATTTTCTAGTGGCAAACCTATTATGTTTTTACCTTAAAAAATTAAGAACCTATGTGGACGAGAGTATGGCTTTGGAGAGAGCAAAGTGGAGGGCGCACATTCATGTGGAAGATTGATCTCGTTTCTATCTTTCCTCTATCTTTTTCTTTTATCGTTTATCTTCTTTATCTTTTTATATTCCTGTGTTATTTTTATTTTCTAGCTTTTTACTGCTCTTTTATCTTTTTGTCTTTTATCTTTCTTATGTTCTTATGTTATTGTTAAACAACTCATATTTAAGTGCATGAAGCTATCTTACACAACACCATCAACGGTCAAAGAAGTTTCAGCAATATTTGTAGCAACAATAAATCGCCGGCAGTTTGGAGGTGGACGGTTGAAAACACGAACCTATATAACCAGCCAAAAAAGAATAGGGAACAAAAAAATGTAAATTAGGAAGCATTCATATAATACCAAGTTTAAAACGTCTTTAGCACTTATGCTTTGGTGACAACTCAGGGCTAAAATGACAAAAAAAAATGTTGGGCCTACAGCCCCATGGGTGGAAATTAGTGCTTACACCCTAGTAGGATGATGCATGCTATATTGTTAGATTACGGAAAGGTAAAAAGATCAAGTAGAAGATTGAGGAGAGTGATAGCTGATTAATTATATTTAGTTTATCTACTTTAGAAAGTCATTATCCAGGATTTCCCTTTCCTTGTTTTAGGCATTCATAAGTATGTACTCCCTATTACAAAAAGGAGCTTAGCTGTGCTAATAAAATATCCAAGAAAGAACTAAGAAGAAATCAATGGAAAAAGCTCTCCAAATTCCAAAGAAGAAGAAAAACTACCTAAAATTCAACTGCTCCTTTTCAGTTTATCGGTTTAATTCACTCACGTGAAATAAAGAATCCCAATACAAAACATAGGATGTGCCGTACATCTTAGGGATTAAGCCTCTCGGTTTTGGCCAATTTTGACCCACTTTTGTCTGTTTCATAGTTATACACTAAGGGGGAACATAGCAAAACATAAAACCCACTTAGGTAGTTAGATCTGCAGTCTGATGTTAAATTACTATTGGTCACGATGTTACTGACAACCTATAAAGGAAGATACGTGATATACCGCAAAATGAGGTGAATGATGAGAGAGTTGATACCAAGTATGCAACTTGTAATGGCAGTTTCTCTCCCCAACAATGGTACCTCTCTCACACCATTGGAGTAAAACAAAGTCAATGCAAGCAATAATGGTTCCAAGTTGTATACTTGTATATTATTAGAAATTTGACTAAATTGAAAACAGAAGGCAAGAGTATGGAGACCTCTCCTGAAAGGGCCTAAGGGGCTGTTTACTTTTTTTTTCATGAAGTCCTGTATGGATTAAGATGTATGGATTAAGATGAACTGTCTGTATTAAGATGTTGTCTGGATTAAGTGATATTCGAATAACAAACTGTTTACTTTGTGTTCAGAATGAGAAGACTGAATTATATTAAATAAACAATTTACCCTTAGGTTTGAAACCTCTTCTTCGTTAATCAATGGAATCAATTTACCAATTGAAAAAGGCGCCGCTCAAATATCTTCTCCATTAATCTGGAGCCATCAACTTCTCAGGGTTTCTGGAGCCATTCGCTAAAGGAGAAGGAAAAAGACTAGTGGGAGATGAGGGTGGGTAACAAGAGAAACAAGGGCAAATGAAGGCTTCTTCTAGCTACGTAACCTGCTAGAAACAAGGGCAAATGGAGGCTTCTTCTCCCTACGTAACCTGCTTTCGTTGGCTACTGTCCCCTTTAGATTTAGATCTATTTCAATTTCAGATTTTATCCTAAAAATAATACCTTTAGGTTTGATTTGGAAGAGGTAAGAAAACGGAATGATTTATCTTCTTTGCAAAATTGTATGCGGCTCTTTTGACCCGCGATTCATTTGATCGAAAACTCAGCACCAAGCATCATCCAGGAAGAAGCTATGGAGGAGGGAAATATGTAGGCACGTAGCTCAGGTCGATGCTCAGGTCGATGGAGAAGGGAGAAATAAGAAGCTTACAGCCGCACACTCAGGTCGGAGGTTAGCTATGAAAGGAGGGTTAAAAGGGAGACTGCACATAAATATGTATGTCTGAATGCTAAGGAGTATTAAAAGTGGGCTGAACTAATAAGTCAAAAATGGTCTGAGCGAATAAGTCATGTTTTAGAATAAGTCCTAAGTAAACAAGAGTATATATCTGACCGATTAAGTCACAGTTTTCATTAAGTCGATTAAGTCGAAAGTAAACAGCCCCTAAGAGTGATACGGGAATTTATTGATCCCAAGACTATGGTGCAGCAACTTGTTCACCATAAGTAATCTTTGTAGTGCATCCCCCAGAAAGATTAGGCAATAAAGTTGAACATACTCACAAGCATGTTTTGGGAAATTGGACAGTACTGGCTGTCACAACAAGTCTCTCCAAATGTCTTCTTCAAGTTATCTCCATTAAAAACAGAAGCTCTGTAGATACTATAGAAAAATCTGGTTTCATGTCTCAAGAATCTTGATGAAAGTCGAATGAAAGAAAAAGGAGAATGTGGTATTAAAATTTTCAGAGTGGTGCCCAAACTGTCGTTTTGAGATTATTAAAAGATATCCCGAAACACAAGGGGGGATTGTTGGAACTTGGAAGATCTGTGGAAAACTGTAGGTTTGAAGAATTAATCTTCCATCTCTTATTGAGCCATCCGGCAATGATATAAATACAAAATTACAGATAAGCTAAGGTTTGTTACAGATCCTAATATTTAGGATCTATCTATTCTTATCTACACTGCGTGTTAATCTAAGAGTTAGAGTCCTAAATCAACTCTACTTCCTATCTATACAGTCCCGGATGTACACATAATAAAATAACATGAATATGCTACATTTTTCTACACTCCCCCTCAAGTTGGTAAGTATATATCATACATTCCCAACTTGCTTATAAGAAACTCAAACACTGGTTTAAACAGCCCCTTTGTAAAGATATCAGCAGTCTGCTCTTTAGTAGATATGAATGGTGTGCATACAATTCCAGCTTCAATCTTCTCTTTGATAAAATGTCTGTCCACCTCAATGTGTTTAGTACGATCATGTAGTACAGGATTGTGAGCAATATTAATGGCTGCTTTATTGTCACAATATAATTTCATAGGTAGGTTCATTTCCATATTCAACTCTGTCATCATTCTCTTGATCCAAAGTATCTCACAGATTCCATTAGCCATAGATCTAAATTCAGATTCTGCACTACTTCTGGCAACAACATTCTGCTTCTTACTTCTCCAAGTCACCAGATTCCCCCATACATAAGTACAATATCCAGATGTAGACCTTCTATCATTTATTGACCCAGCATAATCTGCATCTGTAAAGGCTTCTACACTTCTATTGTCACTTTTTTTAAAAAATAATCCTTTCCCTGGACAACTTTTCAAATATCTTAGGATCCTGTAGGTAGCATCTAGATGTTCTTGGAATGGATTATGCATGAACTGACTAACCATACTGACTGCAAAGGCAATATCTGGCCTTGTATGTGCCAGATAAATCAACCTTCCCACCAATCTTTGATATTGGTGAATATTAACTGGTACTCCTTCCTTGACATTTCCTAACTTCTGATTAGGGTCAATTGGAGTATCTATTGGTCTGCATGCACTCATACCTGTTTCATGAAGTAGGTCTAGTACATACTTCCTTTGGGATACCACAATTCCCTTCTTTGATCTGGCTATCTCCATGCCAAGAAAATACTTCAATTCTCCCAGGTCTTTGATTTCAAATTCCTGAGCAAGCTTCTTCTTCAGGTCTTCAATCTCTTCACAATAGTTTCCTGTAAGAATTATATCATCCACATAAACAATTAGTACTGCAATTTCTCCCTTAATGGAGAATTTCATGAATAGTGTATGATCTGCTTGGGCTTGTTTGAATCCCTGCTTCTTTATGAACTGAGTAAACCTTTCAAACCAAGCCCTTGGGGACTGTTTAAGCCCATATAAGGCTTTCTCTAGCTTGCACACCTTTGAGCCATATTGTTCCTCAAACCCAGGAGGAGGGCTCATGTATACTTCCTCTTCAAGCTTCCCATTTAGGAAAGCATTCTTCACATCTAACTGTTGAAGAGGCCAGTCTAGGTTAGAAGCTAGAGATAGTAGAATCCTTATAGTATTTAATTTTGCAACTGGTGCAAAAGTTTCTGTATAATCTATGCCATAGGTTTGTGTGTATCCTTTGGCAACCAGTCTGGCCTTATATCTTTCAAGTGTACCATCTGCCTTGAATTTAGGAGTAAACACCCATTTGCATCCAACCCTTGGTTTATTTTTGGGTACCTCTACAGTCTGCCATGTCTGATTCTTTTCAAGGGCATTCATTTCTTCTAAAACAGCCTTCTTCCACTCAGGTATAGATAGGGCTTCCTGTATGGTTAAGGGAATAGAGACACTGGAAAGGCTAGAGGTAAAAGCTGCAAATGATGTAGATAACTGAGAATAGGACAGATAGTTTGAGATAGGGTATTTAACACATGACCTTTTTTCTTTTCTGAGAGCAATGGGTAGATTTAGATCACTGAAATTATTACCTTTGTCATTTTCTGGCATTGAGTCAGATTCATTGACAGTGGCAGGATCAGGGATGTCCTCTATTCTGTGATTTGGAACTTTCCTTTCATAAACCTTGCCAAAAAACTTACTTATCTGCTGTTCATCATCTTTCCTTGTTTCAGAAAAAAGTTTTTCATTTTCTTTTGACTCTTGACTATTTTCTAGTGCATCTAACTGTCTATTATACTGTGCATCTAGATTAATGTCAAGAGGTTCTAGTTTTTCAAGAATATGTGATACATTATTACCATCTTCATTAGGAATCTCCCCCTGAAGATGAGTACCAAAAAAAGGTTGATCTTCTACAAAAACAGTGTTCATAGTTATAAACATCTTTTTTGTTATAGGGTCAAAACATTTATAGCCTTTCTGAGTTGAAGAGAGTCCTAAGAAAACACATTTTTTTCCCTTAGGGTCAAATTTACTTGCAGTTCTGTCAGGATTGGTAATAAAAACTGTGCACCCAAAAAATTTTATTGGAAGAGAGTTAATTAGTCTAGTTTCAGGAAAACAAGTTTGAAGAGTATCAATAGGAGTTTTGAATCCTAGAGTTTTTGATGGCATCCTATTAATTAGATAGGTAGCATGTAAAACAGCTTCTCCCCATAAATATTTTGGAATTTTGGCAGAAAACATTATTGCACGAGTAACTTCAAGTAAATGTCTATTTTTCCTCTCAGCTATTCCATTCTGAGCAGGAGTATTTACACAGGAACTTTGATGAACAATCCCTTTTTCAGCAAAAAAAGTATTTAACTTCTTAGAAAAATACTCAAGTCCATTATCACTTCTCACAATTTTGATATTAGTGTTGAATTGAGTTTGGATCATTGAGTAAAATTGTTTGAACACCTCTTCAATCTCAGATTTTTCTTTAAGTAAAAACACCCATGTGACCCTTGTGTGATCATCTATGATAGTTACAAACCACCTTTTTCCTTTCAGAGTTGAAACTCTAGATGCACCCCAGATATCACTGTGTACAATAGTGAAAGGACTAGTTGGTTTGTAACTATGAGGGATGTAAGAACTCCTATGATGTTTGGCAAGTGCACACATATCACAATGAAATGATGAAGGATTTTTATTAAGAAATAACTTAGGAAACAACATTTTCAAGTAGGAAAAACTTGGGTGACCTAATCTATAGTGCATTAGGTACACTTCATTATTACAAGGAAAAACAGTTTGCAAACAAGTTTTTTCTTGACCTTGTTTATTCAATTGTGTTCCTTCATCAAAAGTATAGAGGCCATCTTCCTCTCTAGCACTGCCAATCATCTTCCCTGATGCCAGATCCTGAAAAATGCAATAAGAGGGAAAGAATTTTACACAACACTGAAGATCTTTAGTAATTTTGCTAATAGAGATAAGATTGCAGGAAAGTTTAGGAACATGTAAGACTTTGGAAAGGTTAATGGATGAGGAAATTTTAATATTTCCCATCCCGGCTATGGCTGAGAAAGAGCCATCTGCAACTCTAACTTTTTTATCTCCTGCACAAGGTTGATAAGAAGAAAAAAACTTTGGAATATAGGTCATGTGGTCTGTTGCACCTGAGTCAATGACCCAGGTGTTTTTAGTTTTTTCAGAACAAAAATATGATGTTATTTTACCATTCTGGGCAAAAGAACAGGTAGGGTTTTCAGGATTGGAGATTTTCTGGGTAGGAATGAATCTGAGTAGGTACTCTATCTGTTCCTGAGTGAATGGTAGCTGTTTAGGTTCAACTCCTGCCTCTTGTTGAGTCTCAGTCACAGTAGTTTGTAGGGCCCTTTCTACTTTCTTCTTCCCAGCTCCTGGTGGTTTTCCATGGAGTTTCCAGCATGTATCCCTTGTGTGCCACATTTTCTTGCAGTGATCACACCAAGGTTTTTTCTTGTTGTCATCACTTCTGGCCACCAATGCTGAAGATTCCCCAGGTTCCTCATTAGGTGCTGGGGTGTTGTACATGACCTTCTTCCTGCTATCCTCCATCCTGATTTCAGAAAATACCTCCCTGATAGAAGGTAGAGGTTTTTTTCCAAGTATCCTCCCCTTAACTTCATCTAGGTCCCTATTGATCCCTGCTAGAAACATATAGACCCTATCATTTTCTTCTTTTTTCTTATGTCTGGCCAGATCCTTAGCACTCTCCCACTCTTCATCATCATAGCATTGATCTAATTCTTGCCACAGAGATACCATTTCATTGTAGTATGAAATAATATCCCTATTTCCTTGTTTAGATTGCCACAATTTGGTTTTGAGTTCAAAAATTTGAGAAGAGTTCTCAAGGTCTGAATAAGTTTCCTTAATAGAATCCCATACCTCCTTTGCAGTTTTCATAAACATATGAGGTTTGGCAATTAGGGGCTCCATGGAGTTGAGAAGCCAAGCTGTTATGAGTGAATTCTCTGACCTCCATGTACTGTACCTTTCTTCTGCTTGTATTTTTGGTTGGATTTCTCCTGTGATGTAACCCAGCTTTCCCCTCCCATCAATTGCAAGTCTGACAGATTGAGACCACTCCAGATAGTTTGTTCCATTCAATCTATGACTAGTGATTATCATAGATGAATGAATAGGAGACTGGTAATTTGTCATAGAGCTAATTTGGGAGTTAGGGTTGGTAGTGTGTGAGGAATCAGCTTCACTGGTTTCTACCATTGTTTAAACCGAAGCTCTGATACCATGTAGGTTTGAAGAATTAATCTTCCATCTCTTATTGAGCCATCCGGCAATGATATAAATACAAAATTACAGATAAGCTAAGGTTTTTTACAGATCCTAATATTTAGGATCTATCTATTCTTATCTACACTGCGTGTTAATCTAAGAGTTAGAGTCCTAAATCAACTCTACTTCCTATCTATACAGTCCCGGATGTACACATAATAAAATAACATGAATATGCTACATTTTTCTACAAAAACCATCATAGGTTAATGTCAGCAACTCAGCATGTCGCTCATTGTAGGCTTAGGTGCTTAAGAGAACAAGTCGGTCAAGTCCTTGAATCATATGTGGTAGGCACCTATGCTAGGTATACAGGAAGAAACAATCTGTACTGTAAATTGGTAATGTATGTGAATTTGGAAGAAGAATGCACAGGGAAAACAAATTTTGTATGTTGGCCGTGGACATACACGCACCAAAACGTTTTCTGATGTTGATTGGGCTAGAACACTTAGTGATAAGATACCGGCTACAAGGTATTGTTTAATTTGTGTTTGTAGCAGAAAATAAGGTCACGTGGAAAAAGAAAGAACCAAAATGTGGTTGCAATGTAAATATTGTGCTATAGCTCACAACCTGTTATTTGACATGTAATAAAAACATTGGGATAAGACATATATATATATATATATAACACTGAAGTTGAGTGATAAATGATCAGCCATCCATATGCCAACAATCCGATACTAGACGAGAGGACAAAATATGTTGAAGTGGATTGTCGTTTCTTTTGTGAAAAGATTTAGTTGAAATTGGTTTCTACATCGTATGTGCAAACTGGTGATAAGATATCAAATACAGAGTACATTTAAAACGAGACTCAGCAGAGATAGAACTGATTATTCGTATGACAACTTCGTCATGGTTAATATATATGTTCCAAGCTGAAGTCCTAAAGGAAGTGCTATATTATTATAGGGTTGTTGTGTTTGGGCCTAGCCCATATGTGTGTCCCTATGTGTCTCTGTTATAAGGGTTTATGAAGGAAATAAGAACTCAGCTTTTGCGTGAAACAAATACAAGCATCTTCAAAAAAAAACGTGATGTTAGATAATAATTAATTTATAATCATATTGTTACTAAAGAAAGATGGGGATAAGAGATGTATTTAACATTTAAAATGGAGATGGAAAAATTAATCCTAGGTGAGACCAAAAACTGCAAAGTTGGATTAAGTGGGTGCCTTACTTCTGTCTTTCAATGGAAACCAAGAGAAATGATAAAGAGCTATAGAAGATGGGTTTGCGGATTTGCCTGCATTTCAGGTGCCAAGGATCCATGAAGAGGAAGCACTATAGCATCCCTACAAGAACCTTCTTCAAGGCTCCGGATTTTATCCTCCAACTTAGACACCAACCTGCCAATGTCATCCTAGAACAAATAGCACCTCATCATATTAATGGAAAAAGAATCATTTACTATAGCTTCAACCTTAGAATTAAGGTAAAGTAGATTCAAGCTATAGAACAGACAACCCTATAAATGAAAGAGATCATGTTCACCTGTCCAGTCATAAATATTAAGACATCGCCTTCTGGTTCTTTTAAATGTATATCTACAGGCCATATGGTTTTGTTAGATGAAAAAACATAAAATCGTCAAATTTGATATGATAATTAATAATGGAAAAACTCTTTTGCAATGAAGCCAAAGGCTACTATTTTTTGCCTTGGGAATATGATGGAATAAAGCAAAATGGCTCACTAAATTGTCTGCACTTCTTTGTTATGGGTTATCCGGAAACAATCTCTATATGCTTTAATACAGGGGTAAGACTGCGTACATTCGACCACCCTTACCCTACTGTAGGTGGGAGCCTTTGCGGCACTGGGGTAATGATGATGATGATGATGAATTGATGATGATGAATTGATGATGGAAAGAGACAAAAGATAATTTTTCATTTCTATGTTCTAACAAATAGGTGTTAATCGTAGATATATGTACACCTAGTCTCATTCTATACTTAAGTCTAGAGTAAGTCTTGCAAGGGCCTAACAAGTATTTACAAGAAGAGAAAAAAGTGCCACTAATCAAATAGTAGTATAGTACTCCGCATCTTGTAGCTATTATTCTATTACACAATAGAGTAACAACTATAAGAGCCTAAAAAGTATTTAACCAACATAAAGAAAAGTTGAAGTTACGTTCATACCAAGAGCTGTTTTTAAACAAGCCTCCACATAGTTCTTGGGTTTTTCTGGGCTGTGTAGTATTTGAACTGGAAATAGTTGCCCCGGTACATTGAGCACTGGACAGTCATCAAAGAATTTGGATACTTTCTCACCATCCAGGGTAGCTGAAGTGACCAATACTTTCAAGTTAGATTTGCGCAGTTTAATCAATCTTCTCATTAAGCCCAGCAGTATATCCCTGTGCACAAAATGTACATACAAATAACAAACATTATATAGATAGATATGGATAATACTATTGTGTTCCAAAAAAAGAACTAGGATTGTGTCAGACTAGGGTGTAGCACATAGAGAAAGTCAGGAGCATAGGCAGGAATGCGGGATTAGGCGGGAACACAGGGTAATGCTGGATTTTAAATACAGAAATGTGAATGTGTGTGTTCGTGATAGAGAGCAGGGAGTTGTTTTTGTTTTCATCAGTTCGCGCATGTGTGCACATATGGTATTTGTGAAAAGTCAAAAATACTCCTATAATCCCACTTAGCGGGTCTCGCGTTTTAAAGTTTCTCCATAATTCTTTCCTTTTTGAATTCCATTAACTATTTGTCTTTCTAATTAATCGTTTCTGATTAGATATTTTGAACTTTTGCTACTTTTTATAAAAAGTATTTTCGAGAATAAAGATGGAATGCAAGCCTCATATCATTTATTTCCTTAGTATGTGTGTAAAAGGGTAAAAAAACACAACAAGAGCATCATAGATTCTTCAACAAATTAGAACTTCTGCAGCAAAGAGAGTGTAACAGGTTTACGTATTCAAACTTCTTTCGTGAGCTTCATCTAGAATAATGACTGAATATTGATTTAGCTCGGGATCTGATAGGCTTTCACGTAAAAGGACCCCATCCGTAAGGTATCTGTCAATTAAAAAAACCTCCATATTAGTAAAAAGGAAATCTATCAATTCAGGATCTGAAAGTTACGTTCACTATCAATAAGGGACCTAAAAGATAAAAGTGTGTCAATATAGGATCTGGATGACTTAAAACTATCAATCTAAGGCCTAAAATGTCATAGATTTTGATTTATTTATTTTTTATTAATTCCATAGTTACTAATAAATTTCTTTACAAAAGTTTATTAGTTTAATAAGATTAAATAATATTTAATTTTTTTAAAGTACAAAAACATTAAAATTTGTGGAATTTTAGGTCTTAGGGTGATAATTCTCGATCATCCGGACCCTATATTGAAACAATTTATCTTTCAGGTCCCAGTTTGATAGTGAACGTATCTTTCAAGTCCTTAATTGATAAAATTCCTTGTAAAACAAAGGTAATTCAAGTAGTCATACAGATAAAGTATTTACGAAAACAAAAAGCAATTACTTGATGAGTGTCTTCTCAGAGGTCCTATCTTCAAATCGGATGGCATAGCCGACTTCCTGTCCGAGTTCAACACCAAGCTCCTCCGCAACCCGTCTTTGGGTGAAATAAATAAGTAAATCATATTATAGATATGAAATATGGAACATTAAAGACTAACTGTGTCAGTGCCGATAGAGTGTGCCTAACGCAAAATCTATAAGCTCTTTTCTCTCTCTTTTTCTGTTATCTTTTATCTTCTTTATATGTTTATGTTCTTATGTTATTTTTATCTTTTATCTTTCATATGTTTTTTGTTCTTTTTATCTTTTGTCTTTCCTATGTTCTTGTGTTACTTTTATCTTATACGGAGTACATAATATTTATATTTATCTTATCCATTTTATCTTACCTTATTTTTTTATTTTTCTTCATTTCTCTGCAGGCAAGTTGACTAATTATGCTAACTATCTTCCTTGGTAGATTTTTTCTTCTACATAAACATTTATATTTGGTTCACCATCTATACACAGTTACACACACACATTATATTTTTTTTTTTCATTTACCCCAGTGCCACAAAGGCTCCCACCTACGGTGGGGTAAGGGGGGGTCGGATGTACGCAGTCTTACCCCTGTACTAAAGCACAGAGAGACTGTTTCCGGATGACCCATAGTGAAAATATCATCCAAAATTGCATGGACTGACTGCTTCTTCATAACAAAGAAGCGCAGACAATTTAGTGAGCCATTTTGCTTTATTCCATCACAATCTCAAGCCAAAAAATAATGAATCTTTGGCTCCATTGCAAATGATGGAAATACACACACACATTATATAAGGAGAATAAATAAAGTCTAAGAAGGCAATTGAGGGAGTAACTATCTAAGCCACATGGTTAAGTATAGGAACTACAAAGTAAGAATGTGAACCGAAACAATTGTTTCCTGTCAAAAGTTTAACTGGTTAAAACAAATGGTAACATCAATAATGAAAATACAACAACAACATCCAAGCCTTAATCCCAAGAGATATTGGGGTCGGCTAACATGAATGGATACATGATATCACAACCAAAAGGAAAAGAAGGAATAAAGATAAAAAGATAAGCTATTATGAAAAGATAATATAAAAAAGATGAATATATATAGAAATGATAAAATAAAAAGGCTGCAAATAATACTTATATATATATAAGGATAAAAAAAAATTAGGAAAAAAAAAGATGAGGGAAAAAGATCATCAAGATCACTCCTTCACGTGAATACCCATCTCCACTTAATTCTCTCTCCAAAGTCTGCCCTCAGAAGAAGCATATCACTTCGAACCCATGTTTGGGTCTTCCTCTCCCTCTCTTCCCTGCCTCTTCTCCACACATCTCAACTCGCCTAACAGATGTCGGTCTTCTAAGCATACCAAACCACAGTAGGCCCGACTCCCGCATAACATCAATAATGAAAATAAACCGGAAATTTTCACTAGGAAACCATCTTTGTGAAACCAGTTTTTGAGAGGAAACATTACCTGGAGACAGTAACAGCTGCGACCCGTCGAGGCTGAGTAACAGCCACCATGCCGGTTTTGGTGTATCCCCTTCTGTGAAGCATTTGCGAGAGCTGGGTACTCTTCCCTGATCCGGTCTCCCCAATAAGCACCGTAACTGGATTTTTCGCAATGGTCTCTATGATTTTCTCTTCAAATTGAAGGATTGGCAACTCCATTGGTTGAATCGAGCTGCCCGAAACAAAGAATTTGCTAGGGTTTATAAGTATGTTTCTTCGTCCTACTTCCTAAAATCCACCGAAGAACAAGCTCCTTACTTTTTTTATATGATTTCAGTATATGTCTCTTCCGACTCTTCGTCCCACTGAAGAACACCCAAGCTAGAAGTATGGGTGTAGAATGGAACGAAGTTTAACGGCGTGTTTAAAACTTGGAGAACTGCTTTTATCAAAATGGACATTAGGGTTATTTAGGAAGTTCATATTGTACACTCTGTGCTTTTCAGGGAGAACTGCTTAGGAGAACTGCTTGACACTAGGGTTATCAAAACGAAGTTACTTAGGAGAACTGCTTTTCACTATGGGTCATCCGGAAACAGTCTAGTGTCCATTTTGATAAAAGCAATCAGTCTCTCTGTGCTTTAGTACAGGGGTAAGACTGAAGAACACCCAAGCTAGAAGGATAAGGCTCAAAATGGACACTAGGGTTATTTAGGAAGTTCATATTGTACACTTAGCTTTTAAGTGGACCACCCATTCACGTTTTATTTTAACGGTGTTTAACAGCCCTTCATAGTTCATATCATGTAGCTACTCAATTCTCTCCTTCTCTATCTATACCCCATCATCTTCCTCTTCGTGTGGTCTTTGTCGTCGTTCAATGCAAGTGTGCAATTGCTACGTTAAACATCTCCTTCCTGTAAAAAAAAAGAGAGAACATTGATTTCTGTTTGAGCAAAAATCTAGTTAATGGGTAAAATCTTCTTCTAGTCTAGTAGTACGGAAGTCGCCCACCCCTAAGCTAACTGAGTCTCAATTTGAATCCGAGTCTCAACGAGCACACTGATGATGTCATGTTTGCTGTCTATGTTGAAAGTCTGAAAGGAATTTCACCAATTACGAGATGAATCGGACCGAGGAGTTTGACTGATTCAAGAATTACTCGAAGAGCGAGACCATCTGGGTTGCTTCACTCTGCTGGTAGCCTGGTATAGAAGCTAGAAACGGGGAAGACTTTTCCATTTATACCAAGCTTCAATACCTACTGCACAGATCCGCCTGCGGCGAAAGGGCGTTTTTGACCTACGCGCATGTTGTTGATGAGCCAAGCTTGAGAATTCACTTCCTACTCAAATAGTGGCAATGCTGACCGGGAGCAGGGAAATGGATCATATTTCGAAAATGCCAACACCTAGTGACCAAGGGGTTTTCAAGTACGGAAAAATGACAATGGAAATGAGTATTCGGTGGGCTTTTTATTTATTTGGCTTCTCTAAATCAAAAGGGATAAAGAATTGTTAACTCTAGAGGGACCGTCAAAAACAAACGTTAGTGGGTGGCCAAATGTAGCTCAAATAAGTCATATATGTGTTAATTTGATCCGTTTAAAAGTTGAGTGTCCAATATGCACTCCGTAAAAAACCTTAATGTCCCTTTTGAGCCTTCCCCCAATCATTTTTGAAAACAACAAATGCGGACGTAGTGCGGTTATAATGAATTTGCACTTCACACTTATGACGCCTAGTGGTGTCATTCCAGTCCTTTCCGGTCAACAACCCGGCGGTCCTGTCCGATCATTGACTCCGTGGTCCTCGTCTGATCCGGTTGATGACCCGGCGGTCCTGGTCTGGTTTATTATCTGGTGGTCTCTGTCCGATCTGGTTCACGATCTGGTGGTCCCTGTCCAGTTCGGTCCACGACTCGATGGCCCATTGATAGCCCAAAATCAATCAACAATCATACAATCATACAATATAATAGAAGCAAAGAATCACATAATGATTTAAAAATATTTGAACGATGAACTCCCTCTTCCTTATACCGTATAAGCTCTACAAAAAATGATATGTGCGTTAATGTGCGTAGAGGCTTAGGGTTTGTTTAAGTTAGCATCCTTTTATACATAAGGATGTCTAACTTAAGTCTTACAAGTAGGGTAATGGGTTGAAATACATTTGTGGCCCATATTACACATTTAATTAATAACTACACAAATACAAAGATATTTAATTAGATTGGACACCATAAAATATTCCCAACAATCTTCCATTGGTGTTCAATCGTGTTCAATCAGCATTGCAGCGCAGATATCTTTGTCTTTGTACTTGTTCAGCAATGTAGAGGAGAGCGTGGATAAAATCTGTTGAGTTGCTCCTCTTTTGTCTTGATCTTCAATGCAGCTCAGCTTCCTTTGTCTTCGTGTTGAACTCGACTTCTTAAGAAGGCTTTCTGAAGATATCCCTGCAATCTCCTCTTTGATGTCTTCTTGGTAATTTGATCTTTGATGCCAGGGTTGAGGAATCTTGAAAATCTTTCTTGTAATCCTTGCCTTCCAGAAGTTACTCATGATCAGCTTGACTGCAAATCCGAAGGCACCTCTAAAATGAATGTTCTTGAAGAATTGCAGACGCACATGGGATTCGATTACCCGACCTCTGTCTCCTCCACAATGTAGTCTTCTTGACTATTTGAAATGAATGCTTTTGAGGAGAACCAGGGTTGCACAGCGGAAAATGATGATTGACTTGTGAGCGTAGCTGACCATTTGATTCGAAGCTGGTTGGTGTAGAGATAGAATAGGATTTGTTGGAGTAGATAAGTGTCCCAGAATGATTTGTTGAGAGTTAACAGCATGTGGACCACTCTCCCCCTCATGACGATCCGATGAATCGGGGCGTCATGCCTTTATTCTTTTATTCTGAGAAGCAAAAACAGAAAAACAAACAAAAAGGTAAACACTGGAGACACCATGGTGTTCCGTTATCACAACATCAATGAGAACACTGACGTGTGGCCTGTATAAAATGATAGAAGCATTAAAGCTTTAACAGGACTTCCAACCAGTCATTGTGAAGCATCAAAAGTAGATGTCACTCTGGTTGTTATGGCATGATCCTAAAGATCAGCAAAGATAACATAGCCCCGGGGTCGTGTAGACGCCCGTTATCATCACTATAGAGATAACCTCTGAAGCGATGGCCTGAACATGTTGGTGATTTCTATGTTGCAACAGTAGGACTTCCTTCCAATCATTGGTCTTCATTTATAGTTGATGAGCCCTATGGAAGTTTTCGCGGGTCATGAAGACCTGCAATTGACTCTAAAAGGTGTATGTGTCCTAGAAAATTCAAAACATTTAGGAGTGAGATAACTAGACACGACGTGATCAATGAATGTTTAGTGGCGTGGGGCTGTGGGCCACTATAGTCAGTATCAGTCGCCTCAGAAGGAGACGGTGATAAGAGATGAGGTTCCCCTTGAAATATGATTAAACACATGTCCGTTGGGAGACAGGTGAGTGGTCTTGGGTAGGGTTGTGCATCCGTTTTTTGGATAAAATGCAGCGACTTCTACCCGGGATCTGAATAAATTCAGTCCTGAACCTATGGGGATTGTCCAGAGTATTTGAGTGACTGGGAGCAATTCTCTCGATTGATAGCGCAATAGAGGTAGCAGATTTTGTAGTGATTATGTTCTCTTGCTCACTTGAGCTTTCTGCTTCCTCACTCTCATAGTGTTCACTCAGTTACTCACTCACTCTCGGCTTTGTCCCTTGGGTAGACTTAGTTGGGTTTACTAAGCCATTAGGACTTATCTCTCATTTTTCTTTGATCTTTTCTCTCCGTGCTCGCTCCCCCTCAACTGGAGCATTCAGTAGGATGCCTTTTACGATGATTGGCACTTGGGAGGAGAACTTTGAACCCCCCCCCCCCCCCTTAAAATCTGCATCCTTGAGAGAATCCTTGCATTTTACATTGTCTGGCACCAGGAGGAGAAAAATGAAACCCCCCCTCAAAAGTTGCAACTCATGTTGTTTGTTACCTGGGGAGTAAAGTAGAGAACTCCCCCTTGGAATGTGCTTTCTTCGTTACCACACATGAAAGACTCAGCAAAACAGATTAGGTCTTCTTTGGTACCCATTTCCAGATGGGTCCTTCCTTTGCAGCATTGAGAAACCGTTGCACTTTGTGTTTGATTTGGGATCCTAGGCTAGCTGGTTGAGAAGAGTTTGACAGTCTTAACTTTTCAGCTTTAGCCTTAGGAACCCAATGTTGTTTGAACTTAGATGCAGGAGAAGCTTCACTATCAGTGAGTGAATGATCAGACAGATAATCTTTGAAAATTGGTTCTTGAGAGAGTCTTCTCAAGTGTTTGAGTGAGTGAACCTTAAGGGGATATTTCAAACATGGTAGTGTATATTCTCCCTTAACATTCACCTTTGCGGAAGCGGATTTCTTTGGGACTCTCTGATCATTCACATTCTGATCTTGGGTGGGGGATGCATCAGACTCTGAGCAGCAGACTTTCATTGGTTTAATCTAATTTAGAGAAGAGGAGCGTAAATGATCATTCTTAGTTGATGTCTTCTTCTTGGTATAAAAGAGAGCACTTGAACATCGGCTACTATTCCTTAGATGAGATTCTCCCTCCTTTATTCTTCTTAACTTCTCCTCAATCCACTCTCCTCTCTTTTCCACTCTCCTCTTCACATGATATCTTGTCGGAGAAAGAGACTCAGAGTTAGAGGTATAAGTTTCAGGATCATCAATTGATTTTTCAAAATACGTCTCAGATGATCGGGGAGTAGGAGATTGAGAACTTGTGTCTGATTGAGAGGATGTCGTTAACAAGGATATATCATTTAAAAGTTGTTCCCTCTCAGGCTCAAACGCCTGTTTTTCTTTATCAAAAGCTTCTTTCAATTCAGCAAACTTTCTCACAAGGGTTGGAATGTATGCTGGTTTGGCTACAGGCTCTGAAGTTGAAGGTTCCTCTTTATCTTGCACAGTCTCTTTTACACGGTAAAAGGTTGGAATCTCTTCAGGAGGAGTCAATGGGGGGACTCTTTTGTTTCATAGCTCTTGTTCAAGGCAGCATAATCAAAAGGAATTTCTGTTCCGAGATTAGCTCTCTTGGCATCTTCTTCATCATTCGTTTCTTTAACACTGATGAAAGACATCAACTTAGTCACTCCAAGACTCATGTAATTGATGTCATACAGTTGAGCACAGTTCACCTCCTTCAAATTACATGGGTTAGTGAGACCGAGTCCTTCTTTAGAATTATAGAAACGGGTGTCCTTGGGTTTGTTCAAGAAGATTCACTAGTAAAAAAATGGTTTGTAGTGACATTTAATTACTGTCACTAAACGATTTAGTGACACTCTGAAAGTGTCACAGAAAAGTGGGGCTAGTGATGCTAAATTTTGTATCACCGTTAACAATTCACTTTGGTGTCACAAAATTATGACATATCAACATCATAGAGATCTGTGATATATACGTAACAAGGATTTTTGTGATACCAATGCATCATGCTTTTTAGTGATATACCGACATCAACAAATATAATGATACTAATACACATTCAAATTTTGTGATGGTTTGGTGTCACTTTTTTGTGACACTTTAGAGTGTCATTAAATCATTTAGCGACACTAATTATAAGTGTCACTATATCTTGCGTTCATGACAGATTAGTTTCATTACTTTATATGTTTGCATTCAAGCAATACACCGATTAACCAACTTTAAATACAAACACACTAATAAACATTACAATATAATACTAGTGTTTGGATTTCATCATTGTTAATTCTTCATGTTAGGTTACAACTTCCACAACAACATGGGCGCAACCGCGCAGGATTTCAGTTTCAAGCAAAAATGACGCCACAATTAACCGGGGCATTGCATAACGTACAGTTTTACATTCCACAAAACAAGAACCTACAAAAGTATACCCAACATAAAGTTCTCAATGAATTTCACTCCAAAAGTGTTTCTTGCATTTTCCTTCACTCCAAAAGTGTTTCTTGCATTTTCCTTCACTCCAAAAGTACACGAACTCCAGACCATCATTCAATCAACCGCATCTGTAAACAAGAAGTACAAGTATAAGAAATTAATCCAGGTTCTGTAAAATGTTAACACAATGAACAAAATAAGTACAATATGGAAAAAGAATTCTTACTTTAGGGCCAATTTTGTTGCATATGCTGCCCACTCCTCACACACTTGCAAGATGTCTTGTTCAGAGTAGTCCTTTATTGTTGAGAACTAAGAGTATAAAAATACAATGAGTACAAACATATACAAACTTCAATTAATGTTATCCCACAAAAATATATACAAACCATCCACATTTAACTCACATTCTTTTTCAGAACATTAACATCACAGACAATGTCACTTATGTACTTCATCAAGAAGTATCAACATTCCATAGAACTAGTTTGCTTAGGGCACTAGATCAGTGTCAAGTACAGATTAGTATCATTATACAACATCATGTAAACACGCCAAATACAATTTAGGGCAATGAGGAACATACCATGACTGTAACCCAATTCAGAGATAACCTCTTCTTTGAAACCGAGGCATGATGAATTTTCACTCCCCTGATATTCAAATACAAGTTAGATATGAGTACATTATTTTTTCATTGACTTATAAAAGTGTCTATTTTTCAACACAATGCTCTGACTGAAACAATTACAAAAAAAGGCATAGCTACATACATGCATTGTGATTGAGTACCACAATGTATGACACAAAGATAACTTAACTGGTTCACAATCAGTGACAGATCTTCTGATGATTCTCTCCAATTGAGTCCAAATAGTACATTGTCCATGCCATAACATCAATGGCTACCAACATCTAATGTACACGTTATATTATCTATTTAATCAATTGCTATAAAAAATTCCAGGTTGAAATAAAAGGATACGAATCAGTAGCAAAAAAGATTTAGTGTAATACTTCTAACCGTCGTAATTACCATGTATTATAAGGGATTAGTGTGATTTGTCCAGGCAAACCAACACCCAAAAGATCTGCTATATAGCGAGACCTCCTTGTAATGGACTCATCTGAGGGTTTCAATGGTACCGGTACTGCAGCAGACGTGCCAAATTGGACTGGCATATTACCTCCATCTTCAAGCATCTTCTCATATAAGTGCCTACACATTGAATGAAAAAAATCGCATGAAGTTTATTCATATAGAGCTGAAAAACTGACATAAATGAAAAAACAAAATTAACCACTAATGATAACTTTCAGCATGGATAACTTAAATAAAATATAAATCAAACTTACCTACACTAGATTTCTACAACAGAATTGTTCACCTGTTCAAAGTTGATTACAAGGCCGCACACTTGCTTATTGAAAATAGATTTAGTTGCAAACCCGAATATTTCAGCATCATGTTCGACCATGTACCCATCTCCTAGGCATTTGTCAACTAGCATAGAAAACATCTTCATGCTATTGCTTTTCTCTTTTCTTTTTTCAGTAGCAAACCTTGTAGTTCTTTGCATAATTAGTTTCCTTGCCGGTGGTTGCTTTGACTTCATCTTAGTCCTTCCATGTTCTTTAACAACTACAACACCTCCAGCTTCAACTTCAATCATCTTTGGAATGCTTTCTTCCTTGAGGTGAGGAGGTTCAACCTCAAATACATTTTAGAAGATGATTAAATAATCTTTCATTTCCACAGTTATGACACATAGTTTAATGTAAAAAAACATAAATTCAGATTATTATATTATAAAGAATATGATTAAATAATACCTTTATTTTAGTAGCACCTAGTTCACTCACAACCTGTTCTCGTGATGCTTCACTTATGCATGTGTTGTTAGCTGCTCTAACTACACTCCTCGCGAAGATTCTTCATTTGCATGAATCTCGGAGACCTTCTTGAAACTGCTGCAAGATGTTTTTTCTGGGGAGTCAACTTTTGTTCTTCTGGCACTTCAGTTGCCTTAATAACCAAGATTCAGAAGATTAATAGGTTAATAACTTCATAACCATACACATCATATATGCATACCGTTAATGCCTTATTAGGGAAAGCTATTGTAATTAATTTATCAACATCAAGATAATATTAGAGATACAAATAATATTGAAAAACACGTTGGATTTATATACCTTTCGCTTTCCTTTTGTATCTCCTTCTTCTTCACTCTCATTTGACTTGGGCTCCTTATTCTTGGAGCTGTGTGGGGGGAGCTCCTGGAGACAGTAACACGACGTCTCTTCACCGGAGTAAGTTTTTGTTTATCTACCTCTTCAGCAGCCTATCAATGATATAAATATATACAAACACATATGTTACTTATTACTAGTATCATTTTGAAATATATACCATATCCATATCCATGTGTATTTAGCACCAGTTTGTCTATTTAACTATATTTCACTATGTAGTCTATGGTGAAAATAAACCTTTGTTAAACTCAGAATTACATTACAAAAGAGTTATAAAGTGCCAATTTGTTGGGAATACTCAAAATAGAAGAATGTGTGTATACCTTTACAATAGGAGATTTGTTGGGAATACTTGAACTTCCAATTTCACTTATGGCATGCGACACTTGTGTCCTCATTTCTTCAAACTTCATAACCATCATCTTGTACCTTTGCTCACACATCTCATGCTCCTTTTCGCGATCAGTTCTTGTCTCTTTTGGCTTGTGGAAGTATTGTGTTGGGGTTATGAAGTGTCCCAACCCTTGAACTCTACTGCCATTGGGTTTTTTCTGAAGAGCAGTGGAAAGAACATCAGCATCCCCATTAGGCACAAACACCCCTCTTGTACTTTGCACTTCAGGTCCTCCTAAACAAAGGTAGAGGGACGAAGTTAGTTGCTAAAGAAGTTCTACTTTAACATTTTTAAATAGGAAAAACAAAGTTACACTTACTATTTCATTTGCCACTTCTTTGACATCATCATCATAGGTCCCATCTTTTCTTTTCCTGCCAAGCAACCACGTATCACAACGATCAATGTCTTCCAGATTGACTCCAAGTTCTTCTTGCTGGAAGTTAGAAGAAGAATAAATTCAACATTAATATAATGGACGAATAAGTAGCTCAACACTATATATTGTTATAATAATAGTCATTGATATTCATTGATGAAAAACCTTCTTTAAAAGCAAGCCTCCATATCCAGTAGAACCCAATCGATGGTTCAATTTGTGCTTTTTTCGGCGCTCTTTCGCTTTATTGCTTTTCTCCTGAAATGAAACAAAGCAATACTCAAAGTGTAGGTGTGTAACTTAGCACAAAATCTTGAGTAGGAGTATAACTTACCACAAATTCTTCGGAGAAAGTCTTCTTCACAAATAATTTCCATTCTTTCTTCGAAATGTGTTTGTACTCCACGGGAGGTAATGCTAACTTCTGCAGCTCATGCTCATGTTGATAGATAAAGTCAGTTCGCAGCTCAGATTTGAAATTTCTAAAAGCTACACTCATAGTAGCTAAGACATGCGTTTTTGAATTCTCACTCAACACGAACAATTCCTACATACAATTTAATATAACGTTGTTAGCCCTCTAGCAGATTAAGAGTTTAAATACGGAAATATAGCCTTGTTTTCTACAAACATTATTTATTACCTTAAGATGATTCCACATTTCGTCTTTAAGTTTAACTGCCACATGTCTCCATTCATCATGCACTATGGAAACATGATCCCGCACTACGACAGCAATATAATCGGCCAACTCTATCCATTCTTTACCTGCATGAACACCAAACCTATTCACCTTTACCACCATCTTATCATCTGCAGATTTCTTTAGCAGCATTTTCTTCTTTGTCTTTTGTCTCCTTTTAGAGCGTTGGCCCAAATCATCCAACCCTTCGTCCACATCAAAATCATACATGACTTCTTCATTCTTTGACATGGCTTGCTTTCACCTGTAGATATATAATACAAAAATACGGTTACTATTTAATAACTGAAAATAAAAAAGTAATGAATCACAACAGAAGAATGATTCAAGTACGCTTATAACTTACTGAACGAAGTACATAAATCAGGGTAATTGAGACTCATTGAGTACTGGAATTGCATCAATGTCAATCCTATGATAAATTTGATCATCATCTTCAGCTTCCATATCGTTAAAATGGTTTGGGTATTGTGAAGTTAAAGGTTCGTGTAATATCATTTCATCACTGTCAACATCCATACCATTACTAACTTTCTGCCCAACTGAACACACTATTGATTTTTTAGGATCAACTTGATCTCTCACATAAAAAACTTGTTTGGCATGGGAAGCTAAAATGAAACAATCATTTTTTGACCTATCTTATTAAGATCCACTACCGTGAAGCCCAACTTGTCAGTTTTCACATGCCTACTATCTACCCAAGAACACTTGAAAACAACTCTCTTAGTCATTAGATAGTTGAAGACCCAAATCTCATCAAGGACCCCATAATAATTCATCGATGCTAAACAAGGTGTTTTATCCTTAGAGCTGGAAACTTGAACAGTTTATGATATGAGACTAACACCACTGTTTTGTGTTACCCGATTCGAATCTCGATCCTTAGTTGCAAAGGAAAAACCATTTATATTATAGCCTGAGTATATTGTCACTGTTGTGTTAGGCTTCTTAGCTAACCACCTCACTGTTTCAGGGACAGTCACACCATTCGCAACATCAACACAAACCTACAAAGAAATATTAAATTTTAAGTACATTTGACTCTTGTTATTTGTTATGTATATAGATAAGGTTAGATTTATCAACCTTCTCATCAAACCAGTTAACAAATGTACGATAATGCTTCGTTTCACAACAACCAATATCTTGTGACCGTAATATATCCATGTGTTCCCTATCATTTAATATTAGAAAAATCATTAAATATGGAAGTGAAGGAAAATTAAGTAAGTTTTTTAAAAGTTAAGTCATACTGTATATAAGGTTGGACTTCAGGGGTATTAAACAGCACGGTACGATGTGCTTGCTCAAGTAGTGACGAATCAACAGTCTGCGTGTCACCACGTCCTACCGGCCTTTCAGGTGGCCCGTCCTCACTGGAATGCACAGGTAATCCAATTGCCTCATGATTTGAAAGATATTTAGCACAAAACTCTAACGCTTCCTCTACCACATATCATTCAGCCATGCATCCCTCTGGATGGTAATGGTTACGCACATAACCTTTTTAAAAACTTCATGAATCGTTCAAAAGGATACATCCAGCATAGGTAAACTGGTCCACACAACCGGACTTGGGCAACGAGATTAATAATTAAGTGAACCATTATATCAAAAAACGCAGGCAAGAAATATTGCTCCAAGCGGCATAGTGTAACCCAGTGGTTAGTCTCTAGTATGTCAAGTGCATCATTATCCAACACCTTCTCACATAATGAATTGAAAAATAGACACATATCTGTTATAGAATTGGTAACATCTTTTGAGAGAGACAGGTTACGAATGGCTAGAGGAAGAATTTGTTGCATCAGGGTATGGCAGTCATGTGATTTAAGACCTTGAAGAAGATTGCCATCTTCAGACACTATGCTTTCCAAATTTGAAGAATAACCATCTCGAACCTTGATATCCAATATGGTTTGGCAGAACTTTTTTTTGTCTGCTTTGGACAAGGTGTATGGTGCTGGAGGTAAGGAATTAGAACTATCATCGGGAACTAACTTTTTCCTAATCTTCATATGAAGAAGATCATTCCGAGCCTTAATGCCATCTTTTGTATTTGTGGATTGATCAAATAACGTCCCGTAGATGCTCTCGCACACATTTTTCTCAATGTGCATCACATCTAAGAGATGTCGGATTAATAAATGTTGCCAATAATCCAAATAAAATAAAAACTGATTTCCTTTTAAACAATTTATTTTTCATGTCTTCATTCTTTTTCGTACGCTTTCTCTTCACTCCCTTTCGCTTTCCACTCTTATAATTAATATCTTCCACCAATTTAAGGACATCTTGACCCGACAAGGTTGCAAGAGGTCCTTCTCTTTCAACTTCATTGTTGAACATTTTTTTCATATTTCTTAATTTATGATCATGAGGCAAAAAACGACGGTGAGCCATGTAAACACACTTCTTACTTCATTTTAGCCAGGTTGATGAGGTTGAAGGACCACAAACTGGACATGCGTAATACCCCTTTCCAATACACCCACTCAAGTTGGCATACACCGGGAAATCGCTAATCGTCCACATCAATACAGCCATTAAGTTGAAGGTTTCATTTCTAAACCCATCATAAACATCTACTCCATCATTCCCGAGGGGTTTTAGGTCATCAATCAAGGACTTTAGATACACATCTATATCACTGTCCGGCTGTTTAGGCCCATATATTAATAGAGACAACATCATGAATTTTCCCTTCATAGTCAACCAAGGAGGAAGATTATAAACTACTAACTGAACGGCCAACAACTATATCTAGAGCTAAGGGAACTGTGTGGATTAACTCCATCACTTGAAAGAGCTAATCTTATATTCCTAGACTCTACACCGAAATCAGGCCATGTGTTATCAATATGATGCCAAGCAGGAGAGTCCGCTGGATGGCGCAGTTTGCCATCTTTGATGCGTTTGTTTGCGTGCCATGTAACGTATTCAGCGGTTTTCGGTGACTGAAACATACATTTAAACCGAGGAATGGGAGGAAAATACCAAAGAACTTTCTCTAGAATTTTATTGATAGCTATTATAGCTCCGTTTTTTTCTTCCACCTAGACTCTCCACATGTTGGGCACTTGTCAAGATCAGCGTGCTCTTTATGGAAAAGAATGCAGTCATTTCGACAAACATGTATTTTCTGGTAGCCTAGCCCTAACACTTTCAATATTTTGTTAGCTTCGTACATAGATTTCGGAATGGTGTTTTCTGCGGGTAATAAGTTTGAAATAATTTCTAACAAACCTGTGAATCCTTGATCAGACCACCCATATTTCCCCTTTATATTATACAACAACATTAACCCGGATAACCTCGAATAACTTGAACCTGAGTACAATGGCTTTTCGGCATCTTCAACTACATCCCTAAAATTCTTTGGGTGACTACCAAATTGTTCAAAAACGTTACCTGACATGTCCTCAAGTTGGCTTTGATCATGAAATGCTGACTGTGAGTGAAGAGAAAATGATGTTTTTTCAACCTCCCCGTGCCAATTCCAAACAAGGTACGTATTCAGAAACCCATATTTAAGCAAATGGACTTTAACTTTTTCAGGACTGTGAAAGTCCATGTTGCAACATGTGTTACAGTGACATCTAAGTGATCTGCGATTTTCGGAGTTAAGCATAGCAAAGTTTATGAAATCATTGACTCCGTCTGTGTATTCTTCAGACAACCTATTGTCATTCTTTATCCATGATTTCTCCATTTGAATGTTACCTGATAATTGAGTTACAAAAAAAATAAAATACATCCTACATAGCGCTTCTTTGTTTTTTATATATTACTACTAATTTATAGACCACAAATATTATTCAAGTTAGTCTTGAGTGTTTTATTTTAACTATTTCAAGACCACATATGACTGTACTTCTAGGATTGAGCCTTGAGTACTTTACAAAAATACATGCGTTTTACCAAGTGTACATACTAGACTGAATTTTAATTTGAGCACCACAAAGTTTTACTCATGCAACCATTTCGATCATATACAAACATACAATCATGGTAATGAGTTAATCAGTTCAAAAATTAACCAAATAATGTATTGAATTTTTAGCACCAAACAATTTCAGAAACATACCTCTTGAGGAAGTTATAAGTTAGCTGAAACAAAATATTTGTAGATTGTGTGTGCCTGAACAGTCAATCCATAGATCTGATCTTAAAAGAAGCCTTTGGAGATTCTACAAATTAGGAAAACAACAGTCTCAACTAATAAAGTGAAACTGCATTAAAAAAAGTAGTAGTTTTCTATAAGCCATAAGAAGTATTTGTGTTTATCTCATATACTTAGATGATTTCTTCTATAGATGATAAAGATGGTTCCTTAAGTTTGGTGAGATATTAATTGTAGTAAAACTAATAAAGTGAAACTGCAGTAGCTTTAGGATATAAGTGGTGAGCTTCTTTTCACATAGTATAAGGTTAAAAAGAGTTAATTCCATCCAAATATTAAAGAGCTTATCCACAAATTGAGAAGAAACTGTCACTATGAAGGAAAACAGTTATAACATCCAAAAACAACCAGCTAATTAATAATAAAAGAATCTACTATTGTATTAAACAACAACTTAAATAGTAGAGTCTATGCGGGAGAAGAGCATACACTCTCAGAAAGTGAAATAACAAATCACAAATCACTTAAGCAGACGTTTTATTTTCACTGTCGTATTATAGACTCTCACTTTTTGAAGTAAATGTAGTCTACTAGTGCCGGGAACAAAACAAATGTAGTCCTTGAAAATATGTCATCCCAGACTCACACACAGACTCTGCTAGTGCCGGGAATTGATGCTTCTCTTTCATCTTAGCATTGTCTAATTCATACCTTATCTTTAGAATCACAAATCAGTTAAACAATGCCAAATCACTAAATCTCCAGAAAGTGAAAATAAAACGACTACATTAGAATCTGAAGTCCATAATCCATCCAATGATAACAATAATAGAAACTGAAATTCATCCTATAATCCATCCAATAATCTGAAGTCCTAACCCAACCCCAACACCCCCATATTCCTCTACAGTACTTCAATCTCCCTGAAACATCCCAAACTCCCTCTACAGTTTTACGATCCCCCTCAAGCGTCCCAGATCCCCCAAACCAAACCCCAAACTCCCTTACTACCCCGAACCCATCAAACACAACAATTGTCACCCCCTCAAGCTTCCTAAATCCCCCAACATCAAACCTAGGTTATACTGACCTAAACCCAGGTCATACTGAAACTAACTCACCCCCAGGCCTATCCCCCTACACCAAAACCAAAAACCAGATGGAGAAGAGCTACCTGACGATCGAGAGCCGTCGGTGGTGTTCTTCGTAGAAGATGGAGATTGACCGTACCAATGATGTTCTTCCCAAGCTACCTGACGATCAAGAGCCATCCGTGGTGTTCTTAGCAGCCTTCAACAGCGGCGATGGTATTTAGCAGAGAAGGGAATCGAATCGATCGACATTTAGCCGTCGTCAGTGTTCTTCGCTAGGGTTCTATGCGCTTATGGGTTTCTTCAATTCGAAGAGTGAATAAAGCTAGGTGGTATACGATGCAGTGGGTTTATTTTGACTTTGAAAAAAATGAGTGGGCCAAAAAAATTTTGCTAAGGAAAGAAAGTTTTGGCGTGGGGTTACTAAAACTAGATGGCGGGGAGTATATTTTTGGGTGGGAAAGGAAAAGTGAATATTCGTTAAGGTTAAATTTCTGTACTTTTTTTTATTTAGTGTCGCTATTATTTGTTGATGTTTTGTGTCATAAACTGTAACACCCTTAAATTTTCCACCCAAAAATACCTTTAAATAAAGCATTATTTATAAACTTTATTTGAAAACATCAGAATTGTGCAGCGGAAAAACAAAGGGAAATAGGGGCATTACCGCAACACTCGGTTCCAACCTAACCGAGTGCACAGGCTAACCACTTCTCAAATAATTTAACTCAAAATAATATTAATTGACTAGAGTTCTTAAAATGAAAATATACAATTATTTACTAATTATGTTTTCTAGCGGAAGTTCTCTCGAAATCAACTTCAACAGGATCAACTCAACACCTGTACAAAATCAAGTACACAAGGAAAAACACAAACAAACAAAATTAGCCGGAAATGCTAGTAAGTCCCACCCAACCCCGTAAAATAATCACGTTTGATACATTTTTGTAAAACATCTTGGAGGAAACCTTTTTCAAAACATTTTATATAAATCATAAGTAAAACAATATATACAAAATATTCTCATAACACAATACATATGTAAAATATTAATATTTCAAATATAAGTACTTATTTCAAACCATAAAATTCCAAAATACCAATGTACATAAATCACCAAATATTCTCACAATTATTCCAAAGTATAAATTAATCATCAATATTCATCTTAAAATACTTATAACTACTTGTGAACAATATTCAACATAATCAATCCAAATCAAACCCAAAAGTATTTGTACTTCGGGAATCCATAAATAATTTTATTATTCAAATAACAATTATAACTCAATTTAAACTTGTATAATTCAAAATCACATTTTTAATTAAAATAATAATTCAAACACTATAAATACCTCATTTCTCAAAATAGGAGCTAAATACATCATTTCTCAAAATACATTTATGAACAAGAAGTAATTCACATAGTAGAGTGAAAATACCATTTCCTTAAATAATTAGTCTTCAAAATAACTTTAAATTGCATTCAACAAAATAGCATTTCTCCAAACAGGTACCTTAACAACTCTTACGAGTAAAGTACTAAAATAATTTCCTCAAACTCGTTATACTAAAGTCCCTAAGTAATTTAGAAAGGCGGTGCTCAACATTTTATTGAGCCCGATGGTCCGTTGTTATGTACGGCCACCTCGGGACTTTTGCCGGTACCACTTCTAACCTGAGGAAACTGAACATCTACCTTAAGTGTGCACACCCCTGAAAGGGATTCCAAGCCCTACGGGTAGTAAGAAGTCCAAGTAGTTCGGACCTCAACGTCCCCCTACTGCACCAAAAAGGGATTACCCTATATAAGCGACTAAGTTACTGCTACTACTGAATAACAGGGTCTTTTGCACGAATTTTAATACTCTCCACAGTCAAGGTCGTGGACACCAACATAATAATTTTCCACAGTCAAGGTCGTAGACACCGACATAACAACTCTTTATGAGTAGACAAGTAATAGCAGCCCTAATCACTCTCCACAGTCAAGGTTGTGGAGGACACCGACACCCCAGATTTCTTCCGTGATGCCCTTACATTAAAAGGTTCATTTTAATCTTTATTAATCTCCAAAAATTGCAGGGGTTTACTACTCACGTAACTTCCCCAAATTTAATTTATTCAACAGTAGAATCACCACATAGACATATCCTAAAAAAATGTGACTCACAATTTACAAAATAGTTCACTTTCTCAAGCACCATAAAATATTGTTATTTTTAGTATATTCCAAAATTCCATAGCTATCACACATGAATAAAAAATTTCAAAGTACGAGTTAATTTATCCTTTAAACTTTAAGGTCAAAATTTCTCAAAGTGCTCAAAATATAGAATGATTCATAAATAGCTCAAGTCTCAATCCAAATAACGATTCACACGTAAATTCAAATACTCAAAAATAATATCACCCAATCTCAAATATTATAACCAACAAAATTTCCAATCACAAATAATACATAAATTTAAATACGAAAATTCTCATGAAATATAAAATACTCAAATAATTCAAATGAAACTCATACATATATTTACGAGGGAAAAGTAGAGATTTTGGTTGACATAGAACTTACCTCAGATCGCGATTAATTCTAACCGAAGCTTCTACCTTGATCTTCTCGAGATTCACCTTTTAGAATATTAAAATTCTAGAATTAATAATTGTTGTAGCCCTTTGCTAATTCTTATTCAATTTATGATTTACTTATCCCATTTATATTATTATTATTATTATTACTATTATTATTATTATTTTCATTCCTATCCCAGGTTTATTATTAATATATATAATTAAAGTTGAGTTCAGAACAAAACATCACATGGCCCAGCCCAAGATAATGAAAGCAAGAAATAATTGAACGCACACTAGATCCCAGCTCACTGTATCGTCTTCTTCGGCGGAACTGGGTGCGAAGAGAAAGGAAAAAAAAAACTGCAGAGAATACTTACGGCGGCGGCGGCAAGTAGCAAGAAAGAGTGTCAGAGATGGTCCAAAGTTTGGCTAGAGGCAACGACGGCAACTCCTTTCTTACAGTTTCCGACGTGAAGATTAGCCCGGTGAGACTCCGGCGAAGTTTTTCTCCCTACTCCGACGTCCGTTTTCAACGATTCTTTCACCGTTGGGTCCCTCTTACGAAGGGGAAGGTCCTAGAAGTGTTTTCAAGGTTCGGTTCTGGCTAAAACAAAAGTCAAAAATTGTGTGTATATATACGTGTGTATATATATACCGCAAGTTTTCGTTGGGGATGAAGGGAACTGGGTTTGGCCTGCTATTTATAGAGGAAAGATGGGGGTTTTAGGCTGAGATGTTCGAGTTGGAGTTAAATTCGTTTGGCTTTGTACGTAGGAATTCTCGCAGGTCGTCGTCGGTAGTTAGAGTTTATCTTCGTTTGGGCTCAAAACACTGGTCTTGATATCCGAAGTTTCTTGGCTAGGTCAAGACTATGTACGTACTATATGCTATTTCGTACGTATGAGTATTAGGAGTATATTTCTATATTATTTTATTTATTATATTATTGTATTTGTGTACTTTATACACACAAAAATTTAACTTTCATTACTTATGTCATATGTATACCGGTACTTGATATAAAACGTTACTTCTACTATGGGACCAGTTTATCTGACTAAAACGTCATAAGTTTTGAAATTTTATGTGATTAGAATGTTACAACTGTTGAAATTTTATCTGATTCACTTTGATAACAAATCTCACTTTTATAATATTTTTTTAAACTATTTATTTTACTTAAATTTTTGGAGTGTCAGATTCTACCCTCCTTAAAAGATGTTTCATCCCGAAACATTAACTAAAATCAAATAACCAAATTCTTAGGTATTACATTCTACCCCCCTTAAAGAGAGGTTACGTCCTCATAACTAAAATTTTACCTTTAATCAAATAACTCTAGGTAGCGTTTGCGCATATCCTCATCATGTCTCCCAGGTGGCATTTTCGGCCAAGTGGTTAGACCACAACACTTTCATCATCTTGACCGCTTCACTTCTAATCTCACAACTCTCTTAAGTACTAAGCATTTGTAAGGTCTCTACGCTATCTTAAACATACAAGTCTTACACTAAGGTCACACTCAAGTTCTATCTCATATAAACATTCAAGGAAGGAAGGATAATAACTCTACATACTTCATATACGCAAGTAACTTAGTGAACTATACAATCAATATCTTTAAAGTCTCACATCCTCACCATGTTCCTAGCTAAAACTTATTTTCCTAGTCATTTTCATTTCCTAATTTTGATAAAAATGTTTTGAGACTTACTTAGAAAAGGTTTTGGAAAAACGTTTTTTTTTAAAAAAAAAATCTCCCTGAAATACCTTTCGAAAAACGTTTTTGAAAAATCCTCAGGAAAAACCTTAGTCTCTGATACCAACTTGTAACACCCCCAAATTTCCCACCCAAAAATACCTTTAAATAAAGTATTATTTATTAACTTTATTTGAAAACATCAGAATTGTGCAACGGAAAAACAAAGAGAAATAGGGGCGTTACCGCCACACTCGGTTCCAGCCTAACCGAGTGCACAGGCTAACCACTTCCCAAATAATCTAACTCAAAATAATATTAATTGACTAGAGTTCTTGAAATGAAAATATACAATTATTTACTAATTATGTTTTCTAGCGGAAGCTCTCTCGAAATAAACTTCAACAGGATCAACTCAACACCTGTACAAAATCAAGTACAGAAGGAAAAACACAAACAAACAAAATTAGCCGGAAATGCTAGTAAGTCCCACCCAACCCCGTAAAATAATCACGTTCGATACATTTTTGTAAAACATCTGGGAGAAAACCTTTTTCAAAACATTTTATATAAATCATAAGTAAAACAATATATACAAAATATTCTCTTAACACAATTCATATGTAAAATATTAATATTTCAAATATAAGTACTTATTTCAAACCATAAAATTCCAAAATACCAATGTACATAAACCACCAAATATTTTCACAATTATTCCAAAGTATAAATCAATCACCAATATTCATCTTAAAATACTTATAACTACTTGTGAACAATATTCAACATAATCAACCCAAATCAAACCCAAAAGTATTTGTACTTCAGGAATCCATAAATAATTTTATTATTCAAATAACAATTATAACTCAAAATAAACTTGTATAATTCAAAATCACATTTTTAATTAAAATAATAATTCAAACACTATAAACACCTCATTTCTCAAAATAGGAGCTAAATACATCATTTCTCAAAATACATTTATGAACAAGAAGTAATTCACATAGTAGAGTGAAAATACCATTTCCTTAAATAATTAGTCTTCAAAATAACTTTAAAT